TTCTTGGCCTCCAGACGGATCCTTTAATAAAGACCGTATTGCCACTCTTCAGGCAACGGTCCATGCCAAATCTGAGCAAGGTGGGTGCGGTAGTTGTGTCTGCAGAAGGCATAATATGACCCCGCAAATAGAGGCGCTTAAATTGTGGATTACTGAAAGTGAAAAACGACAGGCGCAGAAGTGTTTTGGGCAGTCGACAAAACTCAGCAGCAAAGGTAATGGTGGCTCAGCAGCTAAGAAATAAGGCAGAAAAGGAAAGGAAGGCAGCTGAGGAAACTGCCCCTTCGACGGGTTATAATGAGGATGAGGAGTTGACAATAGCAGCAGCTCTTGCAGCAACCGGTTTATGCCAATATCCCAATATAGCCTCTGTCTCTACTTTGACGGGTTCCCCCACAAATATACGGACACCTCCAAGTAGTTCGGCTGTGTTCCCAGCTTCTTCGGTGTCGACCATAGGAGGACTGTCAACCATATCGGCTACCCCCTCACCGGGCTCATTCAGTTCACCTCTGTCCTCCATGGGAAGATCGGACACGTTTGCTCCCATTAACCTGGGTCCGCTGGCAAGCACTCCCTACATACACATCCTGTCCCATTCCTGACCCCTATCCCTCTGCTCCGCCACCATATTCCTCGCCTACTGACGGCTCCTTGCCGGCAGGATCCGTGAGCGACAGTGGACCATTAATGTTCCCTATGCGCGAATTTCCAGCCCCTATGGGGGGCACGATAGAAATTTACCGCCCATGGACAGCCACTGAACTAAAAGATTTGATTTTGCTAACCCCCCTCCCAGATCTAGATTTTGCCAAGGCTGAAAGGGCATTGACTATTATGCGTTTGTGTCATAATCCTACTGTGCCCGATTGGATCGTGTTTTTGGAAGCATGGTTGCCCCCTTCCAAGGGACACCACATGCTAAGAGAAATTAGGCATCGGTGTAATAACCTTGTCGGAGACAACTCAGGGCCAGCCCCTCCACAAATATTCACAGCTATTATACAAATCTTGCGCTATTTGTACCCCCAAACCTCTGATTGGACTAAAATTAGCGACTGTACTCAGAAGAAAGGAGAGTCTCTCGAGGATTATGTTGAGAGGTTTACGAAAATTTTCTCGCGCTATTCGGGAATTGAGAATGTGACTGCCAACCAGTCGCCCTTTGTGGCAGCGCTTGTGGCAGGTCTTGAGAAAGAATTGCAAGGCATGTTCAAGTCCTTATGTATCGGGTGGGAAGGCAAGGTCATGATAGATTTAATGCCAACATTAAAGCATTGTTACAAGCAGCTTGAGGCGAAAAGGGAAAAAGGGACTGAAGCGGCTTTTGAGATGGCAGTCTCTACCATTGCTGGTGGGTTGGCATCGGCAGCACAGGGGCTAAGCCCTATGTTGGTTATAGACGCACAATTACCCGTCGCTACTACTGCACCTGTGCCTACCACCCCTGCCTTAAGTTCCACCCTAGTGCAAGCCGCCGCCTCTCCTGGGACATGGGTTTGCCCAGGAGGTATGAATACACAGATAAGAGGTTTTCAGAGGCGAAGAACGCGAGGACGAGGTCGGGGTAGAGGAGGTTACGGCAGATGGGGAGGAGGCTATAATTCAGGGTACAATCACGGATATAGTCAACCAAACTATAGGCTGAATTGCCCTCCTCCTCCTCCGTCCCAGCCCGGAGGTCCTAACCAGAATTGCTTCGCCTGTGGAGCATATGGACATTGGTCCCGAGATTGCCCTAATAGTTGCCAGGGATCCCAGGTCCAGTTCTGCCCCAAGGTAAAATTGTCTATGCACCTCAGGGTTTCCAACAGTCACAATCCCAGTACCAAGCTCCGGCGCGCCAGATGCTTGCGATATCGGAAGAGTTTTCACCACAATGAAGTTTAGCGGCCCCACTGACTCCCCAATCCCAATCCCGTGGCTTTTCTAAACACTCAGATATCCCGGATCCCTGTATTCGCTTAACTGTAGATGGGGAGGTAAAGACGTTGCTTGTCGATACTGGGGCCACTTATTCAGCTTTGACTCATTCTAACTCCGTCCAGCAAAGCGGGACTGTAGCGGTTGTTGGCGTATCAGGAAAGCCTGTAGAGATGGCTACGACCCATCCAGTTGAGGTGAGGGGAGACATAGGGGAAAGTAAGAATGAGGGTTACCACCAGTTCCTAGTAAACAGTGAATTGCCGATCAATTTGTGTGGACGGGATTTGCTGTGTAAAATGGGAATAATCATTAAATGCGCCCCAGATGGAATCACCTTGCTGACGCCTGAGCATGAATACCCGAGACTGTGCTCCCTTGTTTCTCCCAGTTCCCCAAAGTTACAATCCCCAGGCTATTTCCGTTGGACATTGTTAAATCCTGAAGTATTAATTCATGTCATGCTGTTTTATAAAACAAACTTGCTCCTTGAATGCTATTACTTGGAGCATACATTGTACTTCCCCTTTACATTGTACAGCTTTTTACGTAAAAAGTGGAGAAGTAGATATAACTCGGTTCGAAGACCATGTGAGAATTGCTTCCACTTTACAGGTTCACTCCCTCTATTTAGGGCCAGAGGGTATTGCGGCTGCATGCACTCTGGAAACAGACGAGCAGCCTTACTTTAAAAGTGAGAACTCTAACCCTCATGTGACATTGCGGGTAGTTGAGGGATACAGCCCAAAAGACTTAGGAACGATGGTTAGAAGGGCGAATTGGTCTACAAATTTTACTGAGCTTCGCCCCGACGTGTTGTACGACCCGTGCCTACGGGTTTATAAGCTGTGCGTCGGTCTGCTCTCGCTGTTCTCGGTATTTGAGTTTTCTCGCCACACTCTGTCTCACCACATCCTGCCTGTTTTGGCGGCAGAGCCTAAGTGGTTGAAAGACATAGATTCTGCTCTATGGACGTTACACCCAAATGATGTGGGGAAAATACTAACGGCGCCCCCCTTTAAGGTTCAGGTTCACCCAGAAAAACCCCTTCCCTATCGAGCGCAGTACCCCCTGAAAAAGGAGGCTGAGGGGGGAATACGATCAGTTGTAGAAAGCCTGTTAGATCAGGGAATCATAATAATAATAATAATAATAATAATCCTTGCATTTGATATAGCGCTTTTCACGTCGGGAGGACGTCCCAAAGCGCTTCACAGAACACACTGTAAAGTGAATTGACTGTATATTTGTGGGCGAACGCGGCAGCCAATTGCGCACAGCAATGTCCCACAAACAGTCGTAGATTGAAAATGACCAATTTAATTATTGTTTTTGGTTTTTGAGGGATTATTATTAGGCGTGTGGAGTAAGGAAACTTGCCCAAGGTTTCGCCCTGCCTGGAATTGAACTCAGGTCTCTCGCTTGCAAAGCGAGTGCTCTAACCACTGAGCTACAGGACTCCACAAATCATCATAAAATACCGTAGTCCTTGTAACACACCCATCCTGCCAGTACTCAAATCGGATGGGAAGCAATGGCGTTTTGTGCAAGATTTGAGAGCTATTAATAATGTAGTAATCCAGTGCTGCCCTGTGGTGCCTAATCCTGCGACTATATTAACAGCCATTCCTGCTGATTCAGTTTGTTATTCTATTGTAGACTTGTGCTCTGCGTTCTTTTCAGTTCCCATCCACCCAGAGTCCTATTGTTTGCCTTTACATATAAGGGTGAACAATATACTTAGACAAGATTACCCCAGGGGTACTGTGAGAGCCCCACTATCTTTTCCCAAACTTTGCGGAATGACTTGCAGGATTTAAAATTCCCAGGGAAGTCTACCCTGATCCAGTATATGGACGATCTACTGATTGCCAGTCCCTCTGTGGAAGATTGCGAAAAAGACACTAAATACTTATTACAACAATTGGTTGTGAAGGGACATAAAGTGGCTAGGGATAAATTGCAACTTGTAAGACCACAGGTCCATTATCTGGGACATGACTTGTGTCAGGATACCCATCAGCTATCCCCCGATAGGATAGAGGGTATTAGGAAAATTCCTAAACCAATCACGATCAGATAAATGAAACACTTTTTGGGGATGGCCAACTACTGTAGACAGTGGATTAGTGATTACGCCCAGTTATCCAAGCCATTGACGGAGATGACTAAGCCCACTATCACAGTGGAGCCTCTGGTGTGGACAACGGAGGCAGAACAAGCCTTTGACCAGCTCAAAACAGCTTTGCAAAGTGCCCCCGCTTTAGGCATTCCTAATTATGAGAAGGTATTTAACTTGTTTGTGCATGAGGTTGGAGGATTCGCGCAAGCGGTTCTCACTCAAGAGCACAGGGGTGGACAGCGACCGGTTTCATATTTTACCACAAAACTGGATCCGGTTGCTAGTGCTCTGCCGGGGTGCCTGAAGGCGGTAGCTGCCACTTACTATGCGGTTATGCAAGCTGAGGGATTAACGCTGAATCATCCCCTTGTTGTGCATGTTCCACACTCGGTTGTCATGCGACGCAACATTTAACGAGTGCCAGAAGTAGCAAATACGAGGTGGGTCTGTTATCCAATCCAAATTTGACTATCAAGCGTTGCACTGTTTTGAACCCGGCAACTCTTGTGCCCGTAGAAGACGAGGGAGAACCCCATGATTGCCTAGAGGTTATAAACCTAGAGACAAAACCGCGACTAGATTTGAAGGAGAGTCCCTTACACAATGCAGAGTGTGAGTGGTTTGTGGATGGATCAGCATGCAGGAACGAGTGTGGTCAGCCCTGTGCAGGATATGCTATAGTGTCAGCTGCTGCTGTCATAGAAAGCGACTCATTACCCTCCACCACATTTGCGCAGGCTGCAGAACTAACCGCCTTAAAACGAGCATGTGAGTTAGCAGAAGGAAAAATGATTAATGTGTTTACTGACTCTCGCTACGCGTTTGGGGTGTGTCATGATTTTGGTCAACTTTGGAAGAATCGAGGGTTTCTCACCTCCAGTGGGTCTCCTATTAAACATCGAGAACTTATAGTTAATCTCCTTGCCGCATTATTGCTACCAAGGGCAATTGCAGTGATAAAGTGTGCAGCCCACACAAACCAAGCTGACCCAATTTCTAAAGGTAACGCTTATGCAGACGCAGCTGCTAGACATGCTGCTTTAAATAAACCAGCGAAAATGTTGATATTACAACAAGCTGTCGAGTACCCCTCTGTAACTGATACAATGCGGGATGAGATCTTTCGGATTCAGTATGAGGCCCCTCTGGAGGAAAAACAAAAATGGGCCCGTCTAGATTGTTTTATTAATGATCTGGGAATTTGGGTCTCAAATGAGTTAAAGGTGGTTCTGCCACGAAAAATGTTCCCATGGATGGCACATGTATTACATAACTTTACTCATGAAGGAACACAATCCATGTATAATTGGATAACGAAGTCGTGGTTTGCCCCAGGTTTAACCCCCTTCCTCCAGCAGGTTGTAAAGCATTGTGTTACATGTCAGATATTTAATCCAGGTAAGGCTGAGGATGTGACTCCGGCGTCTCATCCTCCCCCTCAAGGTCCCTTCGAACACCCGCAAACGGATTTTATTCAGCTACCAAAGGCTGACGGATATCAGTATGTGTTGGTAATCATTGATATGTTTTCCAGATGGATAGAGGCTTTTCCCTGTAGGAAGAATGATGCCACAACTACTGCCAAAGTGTTATTAAGAGACATCCTTCCTCGATTTGGTATTCCATCACGCCTTTCCTCCGACAATGGGCCTCACTTTATTGCTGCGGTAATAAAAGATATATGCAAAATGTTGCAAATCAAGCAGCATTTACATTGCGCGTATCATCCCCAATCTGCGGGAGCCGTAGAAAGGGCAAATGGAACATTAAAATTGAAATTATCAAAGTTGTCCGAGCAGACAAAATTAAGTTGGGTTGCCGTGTTGCCACTAGCTCTAATGCAAATGAGGAATCATTCAAATGCTAAAAATAAGTTGACTCCTCACGAGGTCATTTTTGGAAGAAATGTGCCTATGATCTTTTCTGCACGCATACAGCCATTGCCTGATGTACATGCCCTCGAGGAAGGGATGATGCAATATTGTATAGCATTGACTAAAACCCTGTCTAGTTTTCATTCACAGGTTCGAGCGCTCCAACAACCTCAGGCATCTGATCAATGCCACAAGTTTCAACCGGGTGAATTTGTATAGGTAAAGACTTTCAAGCGTAAACACGGACTAAGCCCACGTTGGGAGGGACCATTTCAAGTCCTGTTGGTGACTCATACCGCTGTAAAGGTTCGCAAAAGATCTACGTGGATTCATGCCAGTCACTGCAAACAAGCCACAGTGGACTCCGGCCAAAGTGAAGAACTGTGAAATTGACACTTCCCGCCCTACTCTGAACAGACTTTGTGTGACTATGAAGTGGCTTATTCTGTGTTTGTTTTTGTTTTCAATTTTAAGCCATGTTTGTTGTTTTGCTTCTTGGGACTAGGCGCCTTGGGACGTCCTCCTGACGTGAAAGGCGCTTTATAAATGGAATCTTGTTGTTGTTGTTGTTGCTTCGAAAGTAGGTGATCACCAGCTCTTGCTGTCTTTTCACCGAGACCATGTCATACTGTACAATGCGAGTGAGCCTGTGCGCTGTTCTTCTGCCATATGTTACACTAATTTACCTCTAGAGGAGCGAACTTTATCCTCCCATTTTGTGTTGCATCCTTTTCTGGCCTATATGTCTTCTGCCTCTATACGCACTCTCAATTGTTCCCGGAGTTCTATTCGCTGCACCCTTACCAGTAATCTCATGATAATGTGTTATTGTACCGGTTTATATGCATGTAAGTTTAATAATTCTTGTTCATTTTGGAATATGCTTTCGCGATTCCCCAAAGCTTACCAATTTGTGTATATGAGTCTAGATTTCAATGAGACGGCAACTAGGATTTATAGCGAGCTACCACCGAGTTGACGCCCAGCTCTTAGCTCTTCTGAAGATCCAGTTGTTCCCGTGCGCAGAGGAATTTTTGGCAATTCTCTGCCTAAAATTACTTCCCCTCCTTTTCAGTTGCAATGTTTACGTTCAGATGCTCCTGACTGTGAGCCAGCACAAAACTGCAACCCAGCATCATGTGTGTGGGTTATCCCCTCCGTCGGTCCACATGGGGTATCCCATGATGGCGTTCCCGTTGTCTGAATGTGAAATTTGTTCCCTTTTCTACCTACAAATAACGCAAACTATTCCTTGCCCTCCATTACATCCTCAGTTGCAAAAATTGCAGTGTGGTCACCAGCCCTGAAGACCGCGAATGTGTAATCGTGACTGCGGAAAGCCCCCTAAAATTGGTGCGGCCACTACAGTCTACAGGATTCGCATTCTGCGTTGAATCTCTTACTGGGACTGAGTCACTTGGGTTTTTGGATTCTCATTTCTGTAATACCACCTACCCTTACGCGGCGGAGGATGTTCCATCATCCAGTTTCAGGGATTGTTCGGGTGGCTCTACCTTTAAGGGTTCACTGGATGCTGACTTATTCAATTACTCAGCGTTGCGCCCTATCCCCGATTCATAAGAATTTTTATTGGGTTTGCAATTCTACTGTTTATGCTTACCTTCCGGCAAATTTTAAAGGAAGATGTGCCCTTTCTCATTATTTTCCCATGATCCGTTTGACTGAAACCCTGCCATCTGCCCCAGGCCCACAGGTGTTGAACGTTTCGAATCCGTCTGTTCCCCGCCATGTCCATCGCTCTCGCAGGGCTGATCCCTTTCATACGCATGCCCAGACCCAGTGGAATCGCTTTCTTGGGGCCCTTCTTCCCTTTTACGGGGTGATGTGTACCCTTGATCAGATTGCTATCCTGTCTCAGGCTGTCTCTTCCTTGGCCGCCGAAACATCCGCGGCGTTGGCCCTTATTGGGAAGGAAATGTCCGAGATTCGCCTTTACACACTACAGAACCGCAAGGCCCTTGACTATGTCTTGGCTGCGATGGGAGGAGTGTGTAAGGTTATTGGCCCTGAATGTTGTATAACGATAGATGATTTTTCTGTGAAAATTTCAAATATCACCAGAGATTAACCAAACGGGGCAGGATGCGGGTAATATCATTATTCATTCGGGCAGAGGACTATTGGATTGGCTGAGTAATTGGTTGCAGAATATGGGAGTGGGTTGGTTAGGAAGTATAGTCAGAATTTTGTTAGAAATAAGTTTAGTTATTGTGTTAGTCTTTGTTTTTGTAAAATGTGTTCTCATATGTTGCACCCAGTGTTGGCGAAAGACTGTGAAATCAATGATCCCCCAGTGCCTTCGCCTTGCTTCCTCCCTTTCCTCCTTCAAGGCCGGTCTCAAGACCTTTCTCTTTGACCGTGCCTTCAGCTCCCCTCTCGACTCTCTACCCCCTCCTCGCTCCCTAAACTTCCCTCCCCTCACCCTGACCATTTCCCCCTTGCTCGGGTCCTGACTCAACTGTACAGCGCCTTGGGACGTCCTCCCGACATGAAAAACGCTCAATAAATGGAATCTTGTTGTTGTTGTTGTTGTTGATGGCTATGCATTCAGTCCGAGTTAACTACCACCTCACTCCCACCCCCTCATGCGATGAGCTAAGTTATGAGATGGAAAGTTTTCATGCTACTTTCCCGGATTCCTTCTTGGAAATCGAAAAGTTCATCCTAGGGAGCCTACCTGGTGCCCTGTTACTGAGGGATGGTGAGTTATCCCAGGGATAAAAGGGAGGAGTGTGGAAAGTGTGGGAATGTAACATCTTTGGGCAATCGCAAAAGTTACAGAATAAGCAAAGGCAATGAGACAAAACATGTTTTCGCATTTGGTGTAAGCTCAGCTTTGTTTTGGTTTCGCAACTATCAATGTATATGTTATTGTGCTAAGGAACCCGGGACCCATATCTCTTTTTATGAAAGAAAGACATCCAATTATGGGAAAATGGAACATGTATAAAGGTCAGATGTTGTTTTTCTCTGGTGTGCAGTGTGGGGAGCAGTACCTTGGGAGAGTTGTTGCTACCGTTCTGCACCTCATATATATATGAAATAAAGCTTTTTGAATGTATACCGCACTGACTCCGTGTTGAGTTTTCAGGTCTTTAAGAGCAATCACACATCGCAATCTGGGTTTAACGAGTAGCTTTACTATTTCACTACGAATTGCGAGCTAGTTGATTTATGAAATTTAATTTACTTTAACTTTTAATACCATTTTTTTTATGTTAAATATATCTAATACTTTATGTTTTCCTTCTGTTTGCTATCATTCCTATAATGCTGTCATTTTTCTCTTTTGTAAATGCCTGCACAGCTTCTATTTTCATATTTCCTTCTATAGATTGCCTTCTTGTAAGTAATCCACCCCACTCCTCGATTAGCCATTTGCTTTTGATATGCTTATTAAACCTGTCATTACTCTTTTGGATGGCTATTAGGATATCCTCTTACGTAATCTTTCATTTAATTTTTAGAAATTTAGAATTGCTTTAGAATTTCTGCTTGTTTGCCTCTCTACAACGACTCCTAAGTATACTGAATACTTCCTTTTAAGTATTTACTTTTCACCTCCCTATTTAATGCATGCAACTTCATCCTTTGAAACAATCCCTTAATTCCTGTTCAGAACGTTTTTAGTCGGTATGCTTTCCTTGCTTATGTATATGCTGCTACTTTATCTACTAACATTTGCTCTGAGATTTGTTCTTTTCCAGTTGACCTGTGACTTTGTTACCATTTCCTTCAAAAGACTGTACTATTGTAAATTCTGTTATGTGGTTTACAAACGGTCTTACCTTTTAAAACTGATGTCTCATCCAAGGTATTTCAACCACTCATATTCCAATGATGTAAGCTCTCTTAATTTATACACCTAAACAAAATTGTACAACATTAAGCATAGTTGGAGGGTGGGTGGTGCTTCAAAATGTGGATGTAACCTACTTTCATATCTTTAAAATTAACATTCTGCATTTTAGAATTAAAGGTTTTAAAAAATATATAAAGGGCTTTCTAATCAATGTACTCTCCCTTGATATGAAAAAGATTTATTTTATTGGTGAGCGAGGTGAGGCCTGCTTACTCCCATTAGCCAAATTAGACAAAAACGAGTCCTATAGCGGAGTGGTTAGAGCACTCACCTCACAAGCGAGAGGGGCTATCAAATGCAAGGATTATTATTATTATTATAAGTTAAAATAGGGAAAGAGGGTTGTCTCTGCAGACAAGCCCTCATCCACCTCAACACAATTCTTCTAGGCTCCAAATTATCAAAGCACAGTGCAAATCTGAAACTGTCTTCATGACCACTTCATGACTTCATGACTCGGGTGAGCAAGTCATGTGACTGGATCGCCTCTCAGGCCCGGCCTGAGCCTTGCGATCAAGTACTTAAGTGAGCTTTGCATTCCAGTATCTCTGATTCCTCTTTGTGAGGGCAGATCAAACTCCTCAGATGGAAATTACTGCAATACTGATCCTAACCAACAGAGGATTGAAGGCATAGCTGTTGCCAGGAGCTCAATGTGGATTCCAGGGATGATGCTATATCCCTTGTAATGAAAAAACACTATAAAATTCTACTTTTACTTGCCTCATTCATGCCATATCCCTGGAACCCACCTCCTCATGCATTAAGTTGTCTTTGATTTCATCTGATTTCAAGTGAATTCCGGAGAACCTTTACTGAGTTTGGTGAAGCTTGAATTTCAAGGGAGCCTGACAACTGATCTTGAGGCACACCCCAGGTAGTTAAATATTGTACCAGCATACTGTGTACTCACTGATAATGAACTTTCCTAGACTGCACAGGTCTAGATCTTCCAGAATGTAGATGTAAAAGGGCAACAAATCTTTCCTGCCCATAGTAATTCTGTAAGGCAGTTTATAAGGGAAGCCTTTTTTTTATTGAAGAGTATATTCTGGCATTCCTAAGTTTTTCTTTTAAATTATATAATTTATTTCAATAAAGAAATAGTGGCTGCAATGCTTTTTTATTCCAAGGGTGTTACTATACCACAACAATTTCAAAGTGATCACTTGATCAGTAAGTAGAAATGACAGATCACTTCCACAATGTGTAAAAAAAATTGTTAGGCGACATAAAGATACTTTGGTGAACAGAATAAATAACAAGGAGTTAGTACTTTAGTACTTTACTACTGACAATTCAAATGTATTTCATCTCAGATTTCAAATTATGTTGGAATGGGATTGGGGATTATAAAGATGGTATGAGTTTGGATCCCCGGATAACATACTCGGGTTATACAGTGTGTCAGAGGAATGAAAGGTGGTAAAGGGTAGGATGCTGAACTCATTTAAAAATAGACTCATTTAAAAAGCAGATTGATGCTGTGTGTGAGTGTGGGCGGGGGGGGGGGGTGGGGGCGAGCAGCAAGGTGGATGTTCTGGAAGGATTAAATTGATTGAGTCGAAGGGCCTTCTTCATCCAAATCAACCTTGCGATAGGTGAAATTGATCAATATTACTTGAGACACACAACATTTTATATAAGAGCCATGGAGCATGTTGTACGTTGACAATTGCACTGAGTATCTTGTATGTCAATGGAATTTGGGCTATGTTCATCAAGAACAATGTAGTTCCTATACCAATTGCAAAGCAACAGTGCTCTCTAGATGGTGTGAGCTTCTATGTTTAATGCTTTAAAATGCTCCTTAACAATAATGACAATAATAATCATTGCATTTGATATAACACCTTATCCGGTCTTCAAGACATCTCGAAGAGCTTCACAGAATATACCGTAAAGTGAATTGACTGTATATTTTGTGGGTGAAATGCAGCAGCCAATTGAATACAGCAGTGTCCCACAGTCGTGGATTGAGTGACCAAATTCTTTTTTTTTCTTTTTTTAAGAGATTGTTACCCCCGGAAAAGCGATCTACCAATGGACTAACAACCGAATTCCTGCTTACTGCTAGGTAAACAGAGCCATGTGGAGTAACTTTTGTAATGCTTCACCCTGCAAATTTTTATGTAAGGTATTTATCTCCCACTTAAGATATCGTGGGAGAAGGGAACACGAAACACGAGTCACTGGTGGGCTGAGGAGAATGTACAGAACCATACAGTCTCGAATTGCAGTCCTGTTTTAAACTGAGTAATTTATTGTGCTCCGAGCAACCTGCTGCTGCACAGTATAGTAACTCAATGAACCTCCAGCAAAAGTAAAGACTGCCTTAAACAAACTCTAACTGAAGCTGGGAAGCTCATTAGTAAAGGCCAATGAATTGGGTGGCATGCAGTACTTCTCTGGGATTTGTGCAAATATGCATAATGAATCCACAATGGATGAGAGCTAACTTTCTTTAGTCAAACGTTAACAAGACCAAGGCCCTCCTGATTGGCTCCCATCAACACCTGCACACCTCAGGCACAGACAAACATCACCAGCCAAGGATGCTCACTCCACCTTACTAAGCTAGTCTGGAACCTTGGCGTCTTATTTGACCCTCAACTATCCTTTCTACCCCACATGCGTCCCCCACCTCCGCAACATTGCCCGTCTCCACCACTGCCTCACACCACAGGCCACCGAAACCCTCATATACGCATTCATAACATCCAGGCTTGACTATGCAAACTCACTGCTTGTCGGCCTCCCCAACTCCTCCCTCCATAACCTGCAGATCATCCAGAACTCTGCAACCCGTGTCCTCTACCACACCAGGCTCCATGACCCTATCAACCCCATCCTCGCCCATCACACAGAGGATACAATTCAAGATCCCCAAACCCACAACCCACTGTTTCCGTTCCACTATTGGTGGCCACGCTTTCAGCCATTACACCCCAAAGCTCTTCCCCATCTTCAGGTCTTGCCTGAAGACCTTCCTATTCGACTGTGCCTATGGTCACTTCCCCTCCCACCGGCTCGGCATTGTGCTCCGCCACTGTCAAGCGCTCCAGGGAGCTACCCTGCATGAGGGGTGCTATATAAATGCAAATTGTTGTTGAAAAAGAGCTTTCTCTTCTTTTTGGGGGTCAACAACAGCTTTTAACATTCAGTTCCAGGTGAACTGAAGCAAAGGTATAGCTGTTGGTATCTGAGGGAGATCTTCTTTTGGTAACAGCCACCAAAAAGTGTCTAGTTAATCTCTGAATGAATGTCAATGATTTAGAACGATATTGAGGCTTTTCCAGATGGTGAACTTGTGATGCTAAAGGCATTGTATTGTGGTTGTCCATTTTAAACATGTTCGATCTGGTGATGAAGTCAGGCAGGCATGATTTGCGGGTAACAGGCAGTGTTGCTAATAATCCCTGAAGCACAGCTGGTGACTTGCAGAACCTGAACCATCTGATATGGTAGTGTGGTAGTTTCAGTAGTTCTGGAATAGACTTATATGGTACAATCTTGAGTAATTTTGAATTTTATCTTCAACGATTCATGGTAAATACTGAAAACATTCACTCCAAAATTTTGTGTACAATCTATTGCTTTCAACAGCAAACAATTAGGCAATAATCATGAGAATAAGCTTCCAAAATGCTCTAGAATATTTTGATCTCAATATTTTGAGATTTCCAAACCTGGTCATTTGTTGTGTCATTTATCTTCTGAAATTATTTTTATACATGAATTAGATAAACCATAAATAATAATAATCCTTACATTTGGTATTGTGCTTTTCACGTCAGAAGGATGTCTCAAAGCGCTTCGCACAATAAATATACTGTAAAGTGGAGTGGCTGTTTTATAAGCAAATGTATATATTAGATTAAATATTACATAAAGAAATACGGATCCATAATAAAAATAATAAATAAAAAGCAGAGATAATTTTAAAGGTACTTGATGGGCACACAAAGCAGCAGCACAAAATTAAGGCAGAGTAAGAAACTAACATATTTAGTATGTATAGAGGAGGTAGCATTGAAGAAAACACGGGGAGTGATATCTTCTACTCCATCTCGAATATGACACTTATTTATGATGCAGGTCAACTTCGGTCACACCTCTTCCTCCGCTACCTTCTCAAGCCCCTGCATTCTGGTTGTCGCCCTGCCCACAGAACAGAGACAGCGCTTGTCAAAGTCACTAATGACTCTGCCTTCCTCTGCCTCATCGTCCTCCTGGATCTCTCTGCCGCATTCGACACAGTCGATCACACGTTCCTCTTCCACCACCTCTCCTCCCTCATCCACCTTAGAGGGACCACACCGCATGGTTCGAGTCCTACTTAACCAACTACCTCCCACCCCGCCCGGTCACCTGTGGGTACCCCTGGGCTCCATACTTGTCCCTCTTCTTTTCCTTATCTATCTACTCCCTCTGGGCGATGTCATCTGCAGAAACGGGGTAAACTTCCACATGTATGTGGATGACACACAAATCTACTTTGCCTCCTCCAGTACCAACTCCAGGACTGCCAATGTTCTATCAGCTTGTCTGGCAGACATCAGGGCCTGGACAAGTATAAATTTCCTTCAGCTGAATGTGGACAAGACGGAAGCCATACTCCTTGGTATTCAGTAAAGCAGCAGATATCAGAATTGGATATTGAGCATTTTACTTAAATGGCATTCAGTATTCATAAATCAAATTTGGTGCAAGTCTCCTTTAATATTATAACAATCTATACTAATGTTAAAGTAAGGATGACACCAATATTTATGTTTTCCTATAACAGTTATCCTATGAATTTCTGGAATGTCCAATCAGTATCAACTAAAAACGGGGTCGAGATTACAAAAGCTCATTCAGGAACACTATCAGCCATCAGAGAGTAGCGGCTATCATTATATCAGTCTGGCCTACGTACAAAGCATTCCAGAGATGAAAGGATCGTGACCAAATCCAATGCAACACTTGAAGATTCTTGAAGGGTTTTAAATCATTCACAATGTGCTTTTTCAAGAAAAGCTGGAAACTGCTTAATGGCTTATTTGTGCATTTATTAATTTACTTTACCAGAGTGAATACACCTCCAGAGAATTCACACTGAGCATTCACTTGCAAGCCAACATGTGTGTTCTTTACATATTAATTGCTGCCTTACCATATATAGCATATATAGTTAGGATCTAATGCACAAAATTAATACATTTGGGAGAATCCAACTCTTTACTCTCCCACCTACCTCCATATACAGTATCTATATATCAACAAAATTACATTTTGTATAGCGCCTTTCATGTCGGAAGGACATCCCAAGGTGCTGGACAATCAAGTGTTCTGGACCCGAGCTGGGGAGGGGAGGGATCGGGGAGGGTGGAGGGCAAGGGGGAACGAGGGTAACCGAAGGCACGGTCGAAGAGGACGGTCTTGAAGGAGTCGAGAAGGGATTTGAAGGAGTCAAGAAGGGTCTCGAACAGGTCTTGAAGGAGGCAAGGGAAGGGCGAGGTGGAAGGATTGCGGGATGGAGTTCCAGAGGGTGAGGGCAGAATGGCTGAGGGCCCACCTGCCAATGGTGGGGCGGGCAAGGCGGGGGGCATGTAGCAGGCTGGAGCCCACTGACTGGAGGGAGCGGGTAGGTTGGTAGGTGGCTAAGAGGTTGCAAAGGTAGGGGGAGCAAGGCCATGGAGAGCTTTGAAAGAGAGGACCGGGATCTTGAACTGTATCCTCTGTGTGATGGGAAGCCAGTGGAGTCGGGCGAGGATGGAGCTGATAGGGACGCGGAGCCTGGTGCTGGAGAGGACACAGGCTTCAGAGTTCTGGATGATCTGCAGCCTATGGAGGGAGGAGTTGGGGAGGCGACAAATAGGGACTTTGCGTAGTCGTGCCTGGATGTTATGAATGCGTGTATGAGGGTCTCGGAGGCTCTCATGCGCTGGGAGACAGTGGCGGAGCCGAGCGATGTTGCACACGTGGAGAAAGGCGGAGCAGGTCATGGCATGGATGTGGAGATGAAGGTCGAACAGGACACCAAAGTCCTGGCCCCGTGAGATGTAGAGTGCATCCATCTGTCTATAGATAGATGCACACGTACATTTTTAGCTTTGGGTAGAAATTAAGAGAAAAACATAAAATGACATTTAAAAAAAAGCTTTGCTTTTCTCTTCCTTTCTACAGACATCAAACCAGACATACCTGGATATAGACAAAATGGAAGCCATTCTCCTTGGCTCCCACCAATGTGTTCTCACCTGTGGATCCTTCACCTCCCCGGCCTACCCTCAGACTCACTAAGCCTCTGTGCAATCTAAGCATCAAGTTCGATCCTCATTTGTCCTTTCTATTCCACATTTGGTCGCTAACTAAGACCACTTCCTCCCCTCAACTACTCCAATCCATCAGCAGCCTTCAGATCACACCTGAATATTTTCTTCGACCGTGCCTACTCTTTCCTTCAACCCCTCCCTCTCCACTTTCAATTACCACCTAAAGACTTTCCTTTTTGATCGTCACCTCCCCCTTCCCTCTCCCCTGGCTCAGTGTCAGACTCCGACACTGTCAAGCACTCCGGTACTCTACCCCGCGTGAAGAGCACTATATAAATGCAAGTTGTTGTTGTCACCCCCCCTTTCTCCCCGGCTCAGCTTCAAACTAGTCCATTCCTAAATACTTTGAGACACAGACCCCCACATGAAGGTCACTATATAATTGCAAGTTTTGTTGAAGACTTATCCCCGCCCCTCTGCTTCCCTCCAATGGATTTAAATAATTATTATGTTTGGTGATGAACTTTACTGTATTTAGTTTTGTTGGTGTTCAATTCAATATGATCACCACAAGTGGCAAAAATGGGGGATGATAATGAATAAATTAAATGGCTATACATATTTATTCTTCAGAAGATTCTGCACAATGATTGCCAATGAAAGTAGCATGTGGAGGGCAGGGCCTCTGCCTCTTTGACTCTCTCTGGCTGCGTCTTTCTTCCTCTCTCTTTGGTTGCCACTTTCTCTCTCTCCCTGCCTGCCACTTTCTCTCTCTCTGGCTGCCACTTTCTCTTTCTGACTGCCTCTTTCTTTCTCTCTATCTGGTTGTCACTTTCTCTCTCACTGGCTGCCTCTTTCTTGCTTTTTCTCTCTGGCTGCCTCTTTTTCTCTCTCACTCTCTCTCTTTCTCTCTGACTGCCACGTTTTCTATCTCTCTGGCTGCCTCTTTCTTTCTCTCTCTGGCTGCCTCTTTTTCTCTGTGTCTGTCTCTTCTCTGTGTGTCTGAGTCTTATCCCCTGAATATACCTGTAACAAATTGACACTTACCTTTGCATTGCTGGTTCAGTCATGCTGCATGGTTAAATAATACTCCTGGTGCCCTGATGAGCATGGGTTACACTAGATTGTACTAAACATCCACTTGGACTAGAATGCAAGTTCCTGCCTACAATTTTCTCCCTAATCCTCTGCCAAGAATGCAACGGTATGCAAGTTTCTACCAACAATTTTCCACACAATTTATTGTCCATATCATTAGTGTATCATGTCCAAAGGAACAAGTATTTCTCCACAGGCAGGAAACAATAACCTACCAGGGTATAATAATGATCCTTGAAAACATCTCAAAGCATTTCACAGGTAATTGCTATCAAGTGGCATCACGGTATTATTTATAGACAGATACAATGGCTAATTTGCACACAAGGCCTGCAAATAGCCAAGAAGAGAATGAGCAATTATCTAGAGATTGTTTGGCTAGGAAATCAGCTGACACTCTCCTTTTAAATTGTGTCATGGTATCTTTAACATCCACCTAAATTAGTAACTGAATCTCAGTTTTCTAAAACACAGTCTTAAAGCCAACAATGGAGTAGACCGTACCCGACTTATCATGAGTAATAAGGTGGAAATAGTTAAAAATTGGGGGGAAAGGGAGCAACAACTTGCATTTATACAGCGGCATTCACATGGGTAGTGTCTTGGAGCAATTAACAGCGGTGTAGTTTGAAGCTTATCTGGAAAGAGAGGTGTGGTGATTGCAGTTGAAGAGGAATGTCTTCAGATTTCAAGATGCGTAATGACGGAGGGATTGAGCAGGGCGTTCCAGAGATTTGAGTATAGTGGTTAAAAGCACAATCGCCAATGGTGGAAAGGGGATGAGGGACATGCAGAACACCCAAGCCAAGGTAGTAGGTAGTGTAAGCAAATCGGAAAAGGGAGATGCAAGGGTGTGAAGTGATTTGAAACAGTGAGGATCTTGAAAATGATAAGTGAAGCCTGGCAAGAACTGGGGAACATCTTGGGAATATAAATTATGTAGTGACCATAACATTATATAATTGAATATCGAGGGGAGGAAACAGCAGCTTAAATCAAAGATTAGTACTTAAACAAGGCCAACTTTGAAGGGACAAGCAAAGAATTAGCCAGTAGGTAAATCAACTGACAAACAGTGCAATCTATTTCAAGAGATAATTAGTAATAATAATCCTTGCATTTGATACAATAGCTTATCACGTTATTGAGGCATCTCAAGCCCTTCACAGGATATACTGTGAAATGGATTGATTGTGTATTTTGTGGGCGAAACGTAAATACCAAATCCACTATATATCCGTTTGCCCACAAATATACAGTCAATTCACTTTCCAGTGTACTCTGTGAAGCGCTTTGGGACGTCCTCAACGACGTGAAAAGCGCTATATCAAATGCAAGGATTATTATTATATAAAAAAGTTGTACTTCTGACATGAAGCAACCATGGTCAAAATAAACTACCATCGGATTTAAACAAAAAAAGGCCTACAAAAAGGCAAGGGGCAGTGACCGAGAGGCCCACAAAGAGCAGCACTTCCTGCAGATGGCAAGCAATGGTTAAGGTAGTAATTTTGGTGATAACCTGGTAAGTGGAATTTTTTTATTGCAGGAGGTGGCTTGATCTGTGCCAGAAGCCTGGTGTGGAGCGATTCCTGTACAAGTACAGACTGACATCAGACATGTGGAGAAACGCACCCGTGCTCAACCGGAGTGTGTTGTAGCAGAGGTCGCCCTGTATTTAAAGAGTCAGTGCAAATACATGACATAGTATTTTCTCTTCAACCGTGCCTTCACCTCCCCTCCCGACTCTCTACCCCCTCCTCGCTCCCTCCCCTCACCCTGACCATTTCCCCCCTGCTCAGGTCCCAACCCAACTGTCCAGCGCCTTGGGATGTCCTCCCGACGTGAAAAGCGCACTATAAATGCAATCTTGTTGTTGTTGTAGTATAAGTGAATCGCAGATTTTAATGCTAAATTATTCAACTGGATACTACAGCAATGTATTACAATATCTTTGCGAACAACCTATTCTAGAAAAGAGAAAATGTTACAACATTTTAGATTTGCAGGCATTGTGGCTTTTAGTCCCAAGACTTACTTTATTTGGACAAGTTTTGTTAATCTTTATAGGTACAACGGTAACAATAACAACAACTTGCATTGATAAAGCAGCCCTCATGCAGGGTAGTGTCCCAGAGCGCTTGAAAGTGGCGGAGCAAAACTCCAAGCCGTGGAGAGGGGGGAGGTAACCGTAGGTACAGTGGAAGAGAAAGGTCTTCAGGCACAACCTGAAAATGGGGAAGGAAGGGGCAAGGCGGAGGGATAGAGGAAGGGTGTTCCAGAGTTTTGGGGCGTAGTGTCTGAAAGTGCGGCCACCGATGATGGAACAGAGGACACAAGGGACATGCAGAAGGCCAGAGCCAGTCGAGCGGAGGCAGCGGGTTGTGGGGAAACCGGTCGGAGAGGTCTGCCAAACATTTGCTTACCTTGCGTAGATGTTACTGTATTCACTGCAGTTTTCTTCTGGAGCAATTACCGCTAGACAGACGATAATATTTCTTGTGCACTATGTGTTTCACATGATAACTGGCAAAGGAAAAATACATACATACAAGAATAAGCAAATAAGTATGAGAAAAGATTAACAAGTACTCACTTGCCAAAGGTTTAACACTAACCTTAGCTGGATTCCAGAAGATTGTTGCAATTCACATTCCCTAAGAAATGAGGGAAAAAAGTTCAAACTTTAGATTGAACAATCACCAAGCCATAGTTCAATATAATATTTTGGACAAACATAAGACATCAGAAAATTAATAGTTTGTTTGACAACTGTATTGAAATGAAACATGCCCAATATTAAAGTTAATGCTAAAGAGAGTGGCAAATAAGAGAAAAGATGCAAAACAATATGTTAAAGACGTTATAAATGAATGAGTAAATCTGCCCATTTCTAATTCAGATGTTTTGATTTTCAAATCTGCTTTGGTCAAACTTTTTTGATGTAACTGTACAATAGGTTGTAAAAAGCATGATCCTAGATGTCTCCACAGAATGCAATGTTAATCTAAAAATTTTATATTGTTGATACAGCTCTTGAAATGTTTAGAACTAAAGGAACAAGAATATGATACAAAAATCTACCTTACCCGAAATTTTTTTTTAGCATCATTACATACAATTCTTTGGAGGTGAACAAAGATGATTTGAAAATATTTAATCCAGTGATTAACCAGGATCAAATTCATTACTATACCTGCATTACTAAGTTAGACTGCAGCATTAATATGATATGCAACAATTTGATGTTTATTGCTTCTTTCAAATGATACCATAATTTCACAAAATCAACCCTCATACTAATGCAACTCTATCCATAAAAATTAAAGAAAAACTGGAAAATTTGTTGCAGCTATCCAAAGTGTTATTCATTCAATAAATACTGGCACGTCAAATCTTGTTAGTGTGTTGGAAAACCACTCGTACATTCATAATAAATAAAAATATCTTTTGCATTTCATATAGTACCTTTCAAAGATTTTAAAAGAATGTGTAACATAGAAACAAGCCACTCGGCCCAATCAGTCCGTGCTGGTGTTTCTGCTCCAAACAAGTCTTCACCCACACCTTACTTTCTTCCATAAACTTCTACACCACTCTCTCTCATCTGAAGGTCTTGCTTCCTCTTGATATTTACCTGCTTCAAACACCGCTTCAGGCAGCGAGTTCCACAATCTCATTATTCTGTATGAAGAAATTTCTCCTAAATTCTTTTAGTTGCCCCAGTCACTATCTTTTATAGTTGTGTCCCTTGGTTATAGACTCCCCAAACAGTGAAAACAGACTATTTTTATTAACCTTATCAAACACTTTTATAATTTAGACACCTAACTTAGGTACCCCATTACACATCTCTTTAGTGAAAAAGGCCAAACCTATCTAGTCTATCCAGATAGCAGTAACCTGCCAACCCTGGTTTCTTCTTCATAAATCTACGATAATAATAATCTTTGCATTTGATACAGCGCTTTTCACGTCAGGAGGACGTCCCAAAGCGCTTCACAGAACACACTGTAAAGTGAATTGATTGTATATTTGTGGGCGAACGTGGCAGCCAATTGCGCACAGCAATGTCCCACAAACAGTCGTGGATTGAAAATGACCAATTTATTATTGTTTTTGGTTTTGGAGGGATTATTATTAGGCTCTGTGTGGAGTAAGGAAACTTGCCCAAGGTTTCGCCCTGTGCCTGGAATTGAACTCAGGTCTCTCACTTGCAAAGCGAGTGCTCTAACCACTGAGCTACAGGACTCCACACAAACGATGTGCTCTTTCCATCACTGTTGTATCCTTCTTATAGTGTGCAGACCATAATTGAACACAATGCTCTAAATGTACTCCATTCGAGGTTTTGTATAAATTCAACACTACCTCCATACTTCTATGTTATATCATTCTGGATATAAAATCCAAGACCTAGTGGCCTTTTTATCGCCTCATTCTCTTCTGTAGCTACATTTAGAGTTCTGTGGATCTGAATCCTTTGCTCCTCTTTAGGTTCCTCGACTATAGATGGTTCAGTTTTCCCTTCAAAGTGAATTATTCACATTTTGCTACATTAAATTTAATTTAGCATCTGTCTCCCCATTCTGCTAACCTGTTTATGTTTTCCTACATTCTTCTGCAATACCCTTCAGTTTACCTTGCCCCTCAGTTTGGTGTCATCTCAAGTTTTGACACATTTCCTATATCTAAATCCAAATCATTTATGTGTATGGTGAACAGTAGGGCTCTTAACACGGATCCCTACAGAACACTACTTGTTACGTCTTGCCAGCCCAAGAAGATATACTTAACTTCTATCATTTGCTTTGGATTTCCTAACTATTCTTTAACCCATTCAGCTACCCTTCCCATGATTCCACGTTCCCCTATTTTAATCATGAGCTTATATATATACTATTACAGTATCACATAAGTCATCAGTTGGGACCATACATTTAATATGACTTATGCAAAGTATGAGTTATATCAAACTTGCATAAGTCGTATCATATATGACTTACGTAATGTATAAGTCAGATTTTATATGACTAACAAATAACAAATACACAAGTACTGAACTGGCTGGTGACATTAAGGCAAGGTTTCAAATTGGACTTTTTCGGACCATTTTCATATACTTTTCAACTTGTTTTATTATCTGTCAATGTTTTATTTGAATGTTCCTTCCCCACCCTCTCATTCACCACGTGATCAGGTTACGCTTTTTACTCTCTCAGCCTCCCGCCTGCCGGGCATGACGACGTTGATGTTACACCCTCGAAAGGGAGGGCACGAAGAAGGTCGGGGTGGGCATATGCGGTGTTCTGTTTGAGTAGGTGCGGGAAACAAAGTTCTAACCCGGAAGCCAGTAAATTTGGGAGCGGCGTTACCTGGTACCTATGGAAACGCAAACGACGATCACCCACCATCCCATACGTTTCTTGGAGAGCGAGAACTCAAAGTCGTCCTTGGGAAAGGAAGAGGCTGATCTCAGCCTTTTTGCCTCCCAATGAATTGACGTTCCACGTGACAAGGGAGAAACCGAGCTTCTGAGATGTTCTTACGATTCTGATGTGGCGAGACAGTCGAGGCAGGTTGAGGATGTTGGTCAGTCCAGCGTCCAGCTGGGTGCATACCACCCGCACTCGCTTCCTGCAGCCTGAAGTCCATTGAGGACATGGGGTTCCATCCCCCCCAGAACCCCAATCTCAAACCGAACGTTTCGAGGTCCCGGTGCCAGTCGACGGCACTGGAAGGCAGCCTTTGCGCCGAGGTCTGGGTGGTTTCAAGGTCATCCACAATCAGATCTCTCACTTTTGACCCAGTTGCAGACATGAGCCCATCAAGCGTAGCCTTGTACCATCATCCGACCCGGCCTTCCACTGAGAGCTCGCCCCGTCCGAAGCTTCCCTGGGGGAGCCGGTCCAGGGCGAGGCTGTACATTTATTAGGAGGGGCTGCCTCCGAGCAGTGTTCTCCCTCGATAGGGCTGCTCGTTAGGGGCAGCAGCTTTACCCGCCTCGCCGTAACTCCTGCCCTCCCATCCCCGCGACGTAGGTAGTGACTCACGATGTACTGAATTTCCGCAGTGGAAGTACACCCTTGACCCATCCAATGCGGTTACAAGGTGTACCCCCCACTTGTAAATGCTTGGATCCCCAGTCATACTCTATCAGGTCCAGGGATCTTGCCGTTATTCCTCTGCTACGTCCCCCCCCCTCCCACCCCCGCCCCCGAGGTGGTTGTATGGGTAAAGGGGGGGACCCCACCCAGAGAGTGACAGGACCAGGCTACAGCATAAGCTTTAGCAGCAGGAGCCGCACCGGGAAGGAAAGCACCAGCAGTAATAGCAATAATCCTCGCATTCGACAGATTCACAGACTACACTGCAAAGTGACGGGAACGGACTGTGCATTTTGTGGCCAAAACACGGCCGCCAATGGCACGCAGCGACGTCCCACGACGCGGGCAGTCGCGGATCGCCTGACCAAAACATTATTTTTTTTGGGGGGGGAGGGGGGGGCGGGTTTACTAATACCCTGGAAAGCGATCCGCCAGTCGACCCAACACGAACAACGGGGGTTCTTCTTACTTACTTAACAACAATAACAACGATAATAATAATCCTTGCATTTGACATAGCGCCTTATCGGGGTCCGCGAGACGCCTCCAAAACACTTGACAGGATGTGCTGCACAGTGAACTGACCGCGAAGTTGTCCCCCGAGGTAGACAGCGGCGCGTGGTGGGGGGGGGGGGGGGGGGGGGGAGGAAAACACGGTGGGAGACCTCGAGCTCCTCCAACCGCCCCCAGTACTTGACTTTCCCGCCGGGGAGTGGGGGACGTTGTTTGATAATGACTTAAACCCACATTTCAAATGGCTGCGGCGCCCCGTCCTCTCCTCAAACGCATGAGAGGGAGAGGGGCGGCGAGCGCGGCGCGGCGCGCGCGCGTGACCGGGAGCGGGACACTCACCGCGCTCCACCTCGCCTCCCGCCGAGCGCGCGCGCGCACACCGACCCCCCCCCCGACCCGCGCGCGCGCATCGCATCGCATCACCAACTGCCAATTGTCAACAGCGCCGCGCGTCACTCACGCGCTCCCCCGCCCCCCGCCGTTCCCATGGTTACGCACGCCATTCCTCCTCAACCTCACCTGACCCGACCCGGCCTCGCCGCAGGTGCCCCGCCCTCTCCCACCATTCGCTCACTCTCATTGGTGTATTGGAACGCCCCGCTGGGTCTTAGCCGTTCGCTTATTGGTTCACGGTCACGTCAGTTACTCATCCTCCCCCCCCCCCCACCTTTCTCACGTTTGGTTGCGTGCGGGACTCGCTCGAAGCTCCGGGGTCCTAAGCGCCCACTCACTCTCCTTTCCCCCCCCTCTCGTGACCTGAAGACGGGCAAAGAGGGGGTCAAGGCGGAGGGACTGAGACGGGGACTTCCAGGCTCCCAAAGTGACAGCGGAAGCTCGGAGCCGAGCCAACCCTCCGTGGTGGTCTCGGGGGTCCGCACTGTCCCAGGGCACCGCTGACCCACAGCCAACCCAGGGTCAGCGTCAGGCCCCGGAAGGGCAGCCCCGTCGCGCCGCTCGCTGTTGGCGCAGCAGTGAGCGGGAACCCGGTTGTTGGCCGACCGGCGGATCGCCTTCCGGGGCTGATAATCCCTTCAGAAATGGACGATCCCAAAGGGTCGCTCAACCCACGATGGTTCGCGGAATACCCCTGTGCACAACTGACACCGAGTTTCGCCCGTAAACTCCACTTCACGACGATGTGATCAGGCGCTATGTCAAATGCGAGGCTTATTATAATGACATAAATTGGAAGAATTTGAGATCGGTGGAGTTTTTTTTTGAAAACCAGTACTATATGTATGTATAGATGTAACATGATTTGATTTTAATTAAGAATGTAGACCTTTTATCCGAATGCAAGTTATGAAATTCATAAATATTTTCATGTAAGTGCCCCATTGGGTAGAATTATCACAGATTAGGGCTGATGCGTGTTCTGTTGTGATTTACCACTTAACGAATTCCACTTGAACCACTCCTCTCGCTATCTGATTTTCCTCTCTCCGTGCCCACTCTGCTGGATTAGATCACTGCAAAATAACTTACCTTGGTAACAAGATAGGAAACTGATAGATTGCTTAATTAAGTGTGCCTCACCTGCCAAAAAGCTAACCAGCCGTCGTTAATTTTTAATTTAATTTTATATGACAGCAATAATACTTGCAATTAGATCCACAACTTACTGAGTGTTAATATGTCACCACTTTCAGATCGTCTCACAGGACAAACTACCCGATGAAGCTATTAGGATTTTTAATATTAATAAAGTGCCGGGCGAATTCTCATTTCTTTAACACATTAAAATAAAATTAAATGACAACTTGCCAACAGAGAGAAGGGAATTTCTCCAACAGAAAAGTTTTCCTTCAAGTCATGGCTGTCTGTGGGACACTGCTGTCCATAAATTGGCTGCCGTGTTTGCCTACAAAATACGCTACACTTTAATAAGGATTATTATATGTTTAAAAAATACTGTTGGTGAAGTCATGAAGTTACTGACTAATGGAGAATCGATTATTCAAAAGTTTTTAAAGTTTTTGCAGGATTTAAACTAACTAAAAATGTTTTTTTAAAAAGGAATTCAAAAACGGCATTCAGCAAGCAGAGAAAAACTGGAAAGTCATTTTGAACTTATCCGTGTTTTAACTTGTTCTAAAACTGTTTATTCATTAAATGTTTGTTTTTAATTACAATCATAGAAATAAATACAAAAACGGTGTACGAGTACAACATGGGTTTAAAACTAGCCACAGCCAAACATGCTTAACTTCTTTTAAAGCAAAAATATATAGATAGAACTTGGTACAATTGTTAAAAAATAATAGTAGTCATAAAAATAAGAAGGAAAAGGTTATAGGACTAGCTCAAATCTTTGGTATTCAAAATTTTAGGAATGCAGGTTTTGAACCCATTTAATTTGGCAAATAATCCAGAAACATTACCTTTACACTAACGTGCAGTAGAGTCTGTTCGTGTTAATGAACAATACCTATCTTTCCATTGTATGAGCTGATATATAAAACAAGACTTAGTTTTTTTTAGAACCAATAGATCAGTGGTGATCAACTTTTATGGTCGGCCAATAAAATAAATTTTCTTGATTGATTTGTGCCATGAATCAAGAAATATTCGATCAAATAAAACTGAAATCACAACTACCGATCGAACACAAACTTACCTAGACTCATGCGAATGTTCAGGGAAATGCTCCTTGACGATCCCACGGGCCATTTCTGGCCCGCGGGGTCACAGGTTGGCCACCACTGCATCAGATGTTTTCACAAATCTATTTTGCGCCCCCTTTATCTTTATTCTTATTTATCTGTGTTCAGCACCTCTCTGCGATTACATGGATCACAAGCAGTAGAGAGAGGGAGCGGAGACTGTTAAATGAACTCACAAAAACGCATGCTGGCAACTGGTCTTCTCACTTTGCAGTAAAAGGAAAAACAAGACAACGAAACAGAGAAAACAGACTTGAGAGAGGGTAGGAGAAAGATGTCTGAAAGCACAATTGAAAAGGTAAACCATATGGCATGTTTTGAAGGCAGGGAGGAAGGGGACAAATTGGATAGACTCGAGGATAGAGAGTTTAAGAATGGGAGCAGAGTTTCTGAAGGCTCCTCGTTGATGGTGGGGTGGATCAGGCAGGCGATATAAAGCAGGCTGATGTATGCTGAGTGGAAGGACAGTCATATTGCAGGAGGTCGCAGAGCTACGCTAAGCAAAGTCATGGTGGCATTTGAAAGTGAGGATGAGAATCTTGAATTTGATTCACTGAGAAATGATTGAGTTGAGCAAGGATGGGAGGGATAGGTTTGTGAAGTCTAGTGCAGGAGAAGATATGGGCTGCAGAATTGGATAGTTTGCTGCTTGTGTAGCAAATAGAGAGTCCAGCGAGCAGGGTATTGGAGTAATGAAGCCTGGAGTTAATGAAAACATGGATGAGGGTCTCAGCAGCCCGCAGGGAAGAGAAACATAAAGGCAGGCCATATTGCATAAGTGATGGAAAGCAGAGCTAGTCATAGCCTAGGATTAAGGTTTGAAGGATAGTTGGGGGTCAAAATACAAATTTTTCCTCACCAGCTTTGTGAGGTGGAGGGAGCACCTGTGAAAGTCAACGTGGTTAGTGACTGAAGTGAGAAGGTGCTGACAGGAGCCAAGCAGGAGAGCCTTAGTCTTGAGCTGAGGAGATTTAGAATTTATACAGGACTTGATGCCTGATAGGCAATCAGTCAGAAAAGCAATGGTCTTGGAATCAAGATATCACAGGTAGAATTTTGGCCCTCCATCTGTGTTTCAAGCAAATCTCAAAACTAAACGGCAATACCTAACCAACTTCAGAGAGATAAGCACGTAATAAATATCAAAGGGATAATTCAATTTTGGACATTGAGTGAGGGAACTATGTAAAATAACCACTATGCATCCATATCTTGACCAGTTATCCTTGAGACACCCAAAGGTCCAATGAAGTATCAGAGACTCATCCGACCGATGAATATCACACTTCCACAAAACCCTTATGAAGACAACAACAAAATTACATTTGTAGAACACCATTCATGTTGGGCGGATGTTGCAAAGAGCTGAACAATCAAGAATTTCGGACCCGAGCTGGGGGTTAGGATTGGGGAGGGTGGAAGGCAGTGGGGGAAGGAGGGTGATCGAAAACATGGTCAAAGAGGAGGGTCTTGAGACAGGTCTTGAATGAGGGAAGGAGCGAGGTAGAGGGACTGTGGGATGGAGTTCCAGAGAGTGGGGGCAGAGTGGCTGAAGGTTACAGGACCTAATAGGTGTGCACTACATAACAATAATAAAAATTATAATAATATAATAGGTGTGCACTGCCATGTGACCTCACAGATAGTAGATGGAGAATTCTGTAAATATTGAGATGAATTCGGAGCAGATTCAAGCATGGTGCTGCATGGGGAGCACAATGTTCTAGTCCAGTGTTGTTGAACCCAGATTTATTTTGAGTCACAATATATACAAATCATCTGTAGCTGCACCAGTTGAAAAATGTGAGCCACACCAGTTGAAAAATGTGAGGCATACGAGTCGAAAAATGTGAGGCATACCAGTCGAAAAATGTTACACCAGACACGCATGAGTGACTATCCAATTACATATGACGTGCATCAAACAGTGCAGTAGTAGTGGAATCGCTGCAACAAACACATTACATACGTGCATATACGTAAATAAAACATTGGCCATTTTCAATGATTCCACAATTTAAACTTGCAGTGATTAAGCAATAATTTGTTAATTTTCAAATGTAACTTTGAACCTGTGCACAACTTAGGTGTCAGGTTTGATCCCCAGTTATCCTTCCTGCCCCATATCTGGTCATTGACCAAAATCACTTTCGTCCATCTCCGCCACATTGCCAGTCTCCGACAATACCTCACCCCAAAAGCTGCCCTTGTCTATGCCTTTGTCACCTCTCGGCTGGACTATTCTAACGCCTTCCTCCACTATTCATTCAAAACTACGCCACCTTCATTCTCACCCGCACCAAACTTCATACCCTGATTACTCCAGTCCTTGCCAAACTCCACTGGCTCCCTGTCACAGAGCAGATCGACTTCAAGATCCTCACTCTAGTGTTTAAATCCCTCCATTCCTTGGCACTCCCCTATCTCTCTAACCTCCTCTCTCCCCACAGCAGTACCCACTGCCTTCGCTCTACTGGGTCCGGCCTCCTCCACATCCCCCGAATTCCCCACTCCACCATCAGCGACTGTGCCTTCAGCCACTAAGCCCCGAAACTTTGGAACTTCCTCCCTCAACCCCTTCGCCTCGCCCCCTCCTTCCTGAAGACCTTCCTTTTCGACTGCGCCTACGGTCAACTTCCCCCTCCCCTTGCCCAGCCTTGAGTCCACCATTGTTACACGCTCTGAGACGCCGCCCGGTGTGGAGAACACTACATAAGTGCAAGTTGTTGTAACTTTGTAAATTAGCTCTTGACACTTGTTCAGTCGCACATGGAAGCTGCTAGTATTTATCTGACTACATTTACACAAGAAGAGAGTAAAGACATCATGAGCTGCAAGTTATTCATTTAAATGCATGGAAAACAGTTCCTGGGAATTGTTTGTTTAATATACAAATCTACACCATTATATTGTGATTCAAAAAAACATGTAGCAATTGAGTAAACGCATTTTGTTCAATTATTCAGAGTGCTATTATTTTAGATGACTATTTCAACTGAATATTCAAAAAGCCTGAATTGTTTTTACTGTATACATATAACACATTTAAATAGCCATGCACACGTCTCTGTAACCAAATTATCAGCAGGAAATATATGAGACATATGTTTTCTGCTGAAGCTGAGGTGACTGAACCAGACCAATATCCTTCACGAGGCACATGTGGCTCTATGGTTCAAAAACACTGTTCTAGTCTTTGCAGTATTAAAATTCATTTGTTTGTTATTTAATCTGTCTGAGTCTGACAAAAAGAACCCACAACAGCACATCTTGTAGTTCTGCAGAAGTCCCAGCAGTTCAAGAATTAAAAATAATATCTTGTATTTTTGTTCCCACAGTTAAAGATCCTTGGACTTGTGTATGACACAATTGAGTAACCATTGCACAGGATTTCCAATCTTTTTTCAATAACCACGATTCATCTTGAACACACATTTAACAAAATACGAAAGCTCTGTCAAACTGATTTGAAAAAGTATGTTGTTAATAGAGTGAGTCAATTTTCTTGTCTTGTTTCACTGTAGAGCTTTCTTTTCAAGTATTTCAAAGCTCCAAGACAAAATGATTATCAGGTAGTAACTATCACTACCAAAGACTTTAGCCTCCTGCAATATTAACATTGCTGATGTCAAGACAAACTTACAGCACCAACTATTGTATCTTACATCCTCTTGAACAATAGCTGAAAGCTATGCTTCCATGTTTTGTATGAATATATGCTCCAAAGTCAACGATATTTTGAATTCTCTAATATATTCTCTACTACAGGTGGCCTCTTGAAAAACCCAATGTTAACTGATGAAGTTGACTGTCTTGAAGAACTCTCTGTCCACACAATGGAGGTGAAGAAATGTTTTCTGTGTTTTGAATTTCTTCGTTGATGTTTGCACAAAAGCTGTTTTACCTTTTCCTTGAAGTAGCTGGTTGTTAGAGTATAGAGAATTGGGTTCAAGGCACTGTTTATTGGGAGTATGAATACCACCATCCATGAAGTAATTGTGTCTAAAAAAAGAGAGATTTAAATAATTATATATTCACCTTAGCATAACGTTAATGCACCGAGTAAATCATAACTAAAATACTATCCTTTTGGAGGAAAACATTATGATTATATGATTGCAGTTGGTAAAATGATGCTATGTCATTACCTTAAAGATCTAGTCCAACTTCAGTATCTATTTTTTAAAATAAATTTAAATATTGATTGAAATATTAGTTGTTTAAATGCCTCTAACTTTGCCGATGTTTACCCAGCAACACAAATTACCAGTCTATTGGTATTTTTGTATGGGGGGGTTGAATTAATGGATATTGTATGGCATGTTGCACTAGCAAATGGCATTTTTTAATCCATTAATGATTTTTCAGGTGCAACACTACCACCCATTGGCTGAAAATGAAAACTACACATTTGAACATTTAAATTTTTGTGGTGAATTTTCCATCCAGTCTTCTCTCTTACCCCTTTGCTCCTTCTCAAGATGACACTTTTAAAACCACTGTGAAGTGCTTTGAGACGTCTAGAAGACGTGAAAAGCGCTATATCAAATGCAAGAATTATTATTATTATTACTACTATCCCAAAGGAAATCACACTTGATGCACAGCTACTGATGTCACCTTCAGGGGGTCATTTCCACAGCAAGATCAATTTGCTCCTTTGCAGCATAAATCAGTGGGCACTAATTGATTCAAGCACTGCTAAATGGCTCTGCAGTTTTCTGAACCAATTGAAAATAGATACAAATACAATTTTTTTTATTGAAGGAATAGTACCTTTGTTGAAACTGGTATTAATCATCTTTTACATAAATAATGTTAATGGCTGCCTTGTCATGGACATTCCTTAAATCTGACAAAAATGCATTGTGCATTATCACCTTATGGCTTCCACCTAGTTTATCATCATTAGTTATCTAGTTTTCTCTCATATTTCTCTGTCTGTCGTGTAGTTTAAGTTTCATCCTCAGGCTCATTTCTCATTAATTCGGAAGTTCTCAGAGTTCTGTTTCCTCTTCTACTTTGTTCCTTCGCAACATTAATGGGCTCTTTCATTCATCATTCAGTATTACAAACCATATACCCAGCTTCTTTTCAGGCCAGATATGTGTACATTTCATTTTTCTAGCAGTGCATTGGCTCAATTACTCAACCTTTATCTCTTCTATGGACTTCAGTGGGAGAAATTATAATCTTGCTATAATCCCAAATCAGGATTTGAACTCACATAGTATAAAATGACACTCCAATGCAGCGCTGGGGTACGTAGCATTGTCAGAGGTGCCATCCTTCGGGTGAGATGTTAAACCGATGTACCATCTGCCTGTTCAGATAGACGTTAAAGATCCCATGGCACTATTTGAAAAAGGGACGGGAGTTTTTCCTGGTGTTCTGACCAATAAATCGCCTAAATAAAAAAAAATTGGTCACTCACTCGATGGCTGTTTGTGGGACATTGCTGTGTGCAACTGGCTGCTGCGTTCGCCCACAAAATACAGTCAGTCCACTTTACAGTATATCCTGTGAAGCGCTTTTAGACATTATGATGTAATAAGGCACCATATCAAATACAAGGATTATTATTATAATTATTTCTTTCAATTCTTCAAAGGTACAATTTCTACAACTCAGCTCCAAGGAGACCCCACTTTTCTACCATCCCCACCACCACCACCCCTTTCCCAAGAGGGACTCACACTGCTCACCTAACCCGGAAAGTTTTAGATGCAGGCTAGCAAGCGCAAAGGCTTGGAGACCTAAGAGCGCGTGTTGGGGTTGTTCTGCAATTTATCCAGCTAAAACAATACAGCTTGCTACTACAAATGATGGCAAGCTTCCCACACCTTGGAAATCTTGGAACACCTAACTCATTAGGCTTGCTGGCATTAACAGGAGCTGAGTGTAAAGAATCCCTGCCACAGTGACTGGTCTGCCCTCTTCAAATCCTGTTTTACCTTGTTATATGGGTTAATATTACAATTAAACAAGCATTATAGATTGATATACTATAACAGCTTCAGCCTGCACAATTTCTAATGATCCAACATGCATACAGAGTCAGATAATTAGGCACATTTGTAAGCCAATTAAAGTCATTACTTCTTGCTATAACTTGCTAAAGTAACATTTTAAGAATAATTGCCACTATAATTTAATATTTTCCTTTCAAGATCTTCATAAAATCTGAGCAAAATATATCATGTACAATTACAAGTACAATGTGGTTCACATTTGTTATGTTTATAATAATAATCCTTACAATTGGTATAGGGCCTTTACCATCAGGAGGATGTCTCAAAACTCTTCACAGGACATACTACAAAGTGCAGTGACTGTGATTTGTGAACAAATGCGCAGCCATTTTGCGAAAAGCAATATAATAATACTTGCATTTAATATAGCGCTTTTCACGTCTTCTAGACGTCTCAAAGCGCTTCAGAGAACAAACTAAAGTGAATTGACTGTATATTTGTGGGCGAAACGCAGCAGCCAATTGCGCACAGCAGTGTCCCACATACAGTCGTGGATTGAAGTGACCAATTTATTATTGTTTTTTTTCTTGAGGGATTATTATCAGGTGTGTGGAGTAAGGAAACTTGCCCAAGGTTTTGCCCTGCCGGAAATTAAACCCAGGTCTCTCGCTTGAGAGGCAAGTGCTCTAACCACTAAGCTGCAGCACTCCACAAGCAGCCATGAAGTGAAAGATCAATCTTATTTGGGAGATTCTTGGCCAAGACACAGGGAGAAACTCGTTTCTCTTTTCAAGTAGTGTCATGGAATCTTTCACATCAACCTGAACAGGCAGACAAGACCTTGGTTTAATGTCTTATCTGAAGGACAAACCCTCTGCCAATTCAGTGCTTTCCCAGCACTGCAGTGGAATGTCATCTTAGCCCATATAAGTTCCAATTCCAGATGTGGGGCTTGAACCCACAACCTTCTGACTCAGAAGCGAGAGTGCTACAAACTGCACCCGGCTGACAAAACAGTATTTATGACAACAGTTCATCAAGAGTGTCTGTTACACTCTGAAAGATTACACAAATCTCAACACACAGTTGTCTCCCAATAATCTTAGGACTGGGTCCCTCTTCGTTACTCTTCATTAGATATCATTGCTCTAAAGTAAAGTTTTACCTCTGACAAACTCCTGTCTACAAGCTGCCATTCCTCTTCAATAGGATCATGATCGCTGCCTTTCCCCCATCGCCCAGCTCTGCCACTGTCAGAACTCTGCAGCTTGCACCAGGCTTCGGGAACACATCACTCCCACCCTCACTCGCCTCCACTGGCTCCCCATCCCCCAGAGGATCGAATTCAAGATCCTCACCCTCACCTACAAGGCCATTCACAGCCTTGCTCCCTCCTACCTCTCCGACCTACTATCCCCTTACCTACCTACCCGTACCCTCCGTTCCTCTGGCTCCAGTCTGCTCCACATCCCCCGCCCCAACCGCCCTACCATCGGTGGCCGGGCCTTCAGCCTCTCAGCCCCTAGGCTCTGGAACTCTATCCCCCAGTGCCTTCGCCTTGCCTCCTCCCTTTCCTCCTTCAAGGGCGGTCTCAAGACCTTTCTCTTTGACCGAGCCTTCAGCTCCCCTCTCGACTCTCTACCCCCTCCTCGCTCCCTCCCTTTCCTCCCCTCACCCTGACCATTTCCCCCTTGCTCGGGTCCTGACCCAACTGTACAGCGCCTTGGGACATCCTCCCGACGTGAAAGGCGCTCAATAAATGGAATCTTGTTGTTGTTGTTGTCTCACACCTCAGGCCACCGAGATACATGCATTCATAACATCCGGGCTTGACTGCAAACTCCCTGCTTGTCGACCTCCCCAACTCCTCCCTCCAAGGCTGCAGATCATCCAGAACTCTGCAGCCCTTGTCCTCTCCAACACCAGGCTCTGTGACCCTATCACCTCCATCCTCACCCAACTCCACTGGTTTCCCATCACACAGAAGATACAATTCAAGATCCTGGTCCTCACCTTCAAAGATCTCCATGGCCTTGCTCCCCCCTACCTCTATAACCTCCTAACCCCCTACCAACCTGCCCACTCAGCGGGCTCGGGCCTGCTTCATGTCCCCCACTTCTCCCTCCCCATGATTGAAAGGAGGGTCTTCAGCCACTCTGCCCCCACTCTCTGGAACTCCATTCCGCAGTCCCTCCGCTATGCCCCCTTCTTTGCCTCCTTCAGCGCCTTGGGACGTCCTCCTGACGTGAAAGGCGCTTTATAAATGGAATCTTGTTGTTGTTGTTCAAGACCCATCTCAAGACCTTCCTCTTCAACCGTGCTTTCGATTACTCTCCTTCCACCCCTGCCCCCCACCCTCCCCAATCCCGATCCCGAGCTCGTGTCCGAAACACTGACTGTCCAGTGCCTTGGGACGTCCTCTCAATGTGAAAGGCGTTATACAAATGTAATTTGGTATTGTGTTGTTGTTACTGGTCCTCAACCATAGCAAATGGTAGAGATGAAGACTTAGCCTTTCTATTATCTTAAATGTGTGTCCTCTCTAAATATGCTGCCAAGATTCTTAAAGGTATAAAATTACAGCAATAACCAGCAGTATGCATCTTTTAAAAAGTTTTATTTTCAGCCAATTATATCCAAAAACAATTATGGAGTATAATCAACTTGCCAGAGTTGTCTTTCTCATGGTCCTTTAAATTAGAGATCTTCTGTAGACTTCTTGTCAAAGTTCCCTCACTTTTCTTCTCTCTGAAGACAATATATTGAGATTCTATTGGTCAAGCACCATCGTTGATGGAGAAATCCCAGAGATTGTTTTGGTTGCAGCAAAGCTGAAGAACCTGTTTCTCAGTGCTTTTTAAAATAGTTTGCCAAAATGTGTAAGTGTTCTGGTTCCATTGAGTTCAATAAACATCTGTTAGCTATTTGGTATGTCCTTAACCCTGCAGACTCGAGTCCTAAAGGTAGAAATACTATTCTATGTGATTAACCAGTTTATAATATATATAAAACTGTATATGTCTTCTATGTCCACATTGCTCCTTCAAAGACATTATAACAACTTTTAATTACAATCGGTTATATTTTGGGGTTGAATAGTTTACACAATGCTTTCCTCCTTTTGTAATGTTTCCAGTTTCTTCTTTCAACAGAAATTTCTGCAGTGGAAAGCTGATGTTCAGGCACACACCCTCCATTCAGGGTCAATTGTAGCAATCTGGAGCAAGGACCTTAGTTGATTTTCTCCCTCCTTTATTCAGGAACACTGAGGCCAATTGTAGTACCCCAACCTAGTGCCAATGTGAGATCTGGTATCTCTACACAGACCAGGATTTGAACCATCAGTCTGTGTTGCACTGGGCAATACCTTTACGTACTGTAGCCCAGGATATCAATGTTTACAATACTTTAATCATGCTAAATAAAATCCAACTTGTCGAATACAGTTTTTCATGACAATCTATCAAATGTCAGCAACATCCATAATGCCAAATACCACAGAGAAGTGATGTTTTTGTCCACATTCAAACTGAGTAAATGTTCCTCTTTTGTATTGACTTAAAATTAGTACAGTGTGCTGTAAATTTGTGTTCGCCTCAGTTTACAAGCTTTTTAGAATCTTATTCAGTGCTTTAGTCTATATTCACTGCACCTTTGGAACCTCAACATAAGTAATGCACTTCTTTAAAAAAAATCAGAAATGATAGGAATTGGCTCTAAAACTATCCAAATAAACATTCTTACCAAGCCTGCCCTTTACAACTTGTTGATATGACCATACTAGCAATTACTGGCACTTGAAAAATATCCTCAAGCTTTAAGTGTGATGCATTGTTATCAAATAAATGAATTAGTTCTTGACATTTATGCTATGCAACTAAAAATTCTAGGACTATCCAACATGCTACAAGATGTAGAGAAAACTGAATGCATGTGTGATCAAGAAAACTCTGATCCTACATTGCTATAACAAACAGTATTGTACAATGCAGTCTTTCAAGAAATGTGGCTTTCATACATACCTGGAATCTCTACCTGAATCAATGAGAGGATCTTCAGTAGAAAAATAGGAATCCAACAGAGGGCGTCAGAAAACACTATGAAGAAAAATCTATAGGCCACAGCAACTTCACTTCGAAACTGTCTTTTCATCTCAGATATTTGTTTTCCAGTCTTGTGGATGGAACAAAACATGCTGGAGTAAGAGAAGACTATTATGATGAAGCCAATGAGATTCAAACCTATCAAGAGAGAAAGAAAAATACAGCATAGTTTTGCATGGATGACAATGATATTATTTCCCAGCAATTTGTATATAATGTATTTGTTTTCTTCTATTTAGGTCCTTTCTTGTTATCCAGAAGGCTGGCCATCTCCTCCCAGACCTTTAATAATATTGTCATTGACCTAACTATCAGGATGAATGTGAGAGGAGCAGAAAATGATTGGACCCTCATGGTTTTCTTCCCATTGGGAAGCTCTTCACACTGACCACAAATTTGCCATGTGTATAATTTCACAATAAACTGGCAAATGTCTTATCATTCTGTGGGACAATTGTTTAATGTATAAAATACATGGACTTCCATTATTTTACTGTATATTTTAACAATTTTAAATGTTTATTATTAACAATCCTTCACATTTCATATACAATAATACCTTTCACATCAGGAAGATGCCTCAAAGCATTTCACAGGGTTCACTGAAAATGCAGTGACTGTGTATTTTGTAGGTAACCACAGCAGCCAATTTGTGTATGGTAATGTCCTTAAAACAGCAAAGAAGTGAATGACCAATTTTTATTTTGGAGAATAATGGCCAGGACACCAGGAGAAACTCCCTTCTCTTTTTGAATAGTACTTTGGGATCTTAGATGTCCAACCTGAAAGGCAGACAAGACCTCAGTTTAACATGCCATCTAAAGGGTAGTACCTCAGATAAATCAGCACTCACTGGCACTGCATTGAAGTGTGAACCACAACAATCTGAGTTCCAAGTCCCCAAAATGCTCCTGACTGATGAGAGTGACACTAACTGAGCCAGGCTGACATCTGTACAGTATTATAGTACTTTGCTTTCTATTGACTATATAAATACAAGTGTATTACTTGTTAATTGCTTTACATGTAGCAACAATTTACACTCATGCAACCACTTTTGTGGGGGGAAGAGGGGGCATGTTTCAAAACACTTCACCCAACTAGGGGTGAGTGAGGGGGGCAAGCTGAGGAGGGGAGATATAAGATGACCAAAAGCATGGTCAAAATAAAACTAGATCTTGAGGGTTGTAAACAGAGTAACACAATAAGCAGCTGGTATCCCTTAGGTCCAATTGGTACCTTTAAAAAGACAATTTATTGTAAATTCAAAATATGTTTAAATTATTTAAATTGTTATAGTCTCATGTAGGAATACTCATGATGGCTGTTCAATAAACTAACTCCTCCCCATCCACTTCACCACCCACACTCCCATCCCCACACCCCCCCCACTCCCTCCCCCCTCCACCACCACCTCAACCCAGTTACAAAGTAGTATAAAATCATACCAAGAAAAATTCCAGTTGTGTAGCCTTTTGCAGCCTCTTTCTCTGTTTGGTCAGAGTGTAGAGGGAAGCAGACGCCATTTCTTCCATAATAATTCCCAAATATATCCTCGTTCCAGAGTGGAATTACAGCAATAATGAATCCAACAAGCCAGATGGTGATGATTATGGCAAGAGTCTGGTACTTGCCTGGTTTAATGTTGCTGAATGGGAAGACTATGACAATATACTTCTCCAGACTCAAGAAGGTCAATAATAGCACTGAGACCTCAGTGGAAAGCATGGCCAGAAAACCAATCATTCGACACTGAACACTTTCCATCCACAGCTGTGCATATTTGTTGTACTCCCCACGATACTTCATATCAGAAATTGCAACAAAGAATAGATACACTCCCATCAGGCAATCAGCACCTTGGATGGGAAATGAGACGAGATTATTACATATATTTTCAAACATAAGGCAAATATGTGTACTGTGTACCTCAAGCATCAACAATGCATTGATTGTGTGAACTTGCTTAGCAATGGAAAAGGACCTTCAGATTTTACCTTGTTATTGATCTCCCTTTCATTGTTGTTATTTTTTTCTATCAATTCTAAAGACCCTCAAATTATAATCACTGCATCCCCTATCCTTGAGCTGTTGCCCAAACTGCTTGGACCAGCTATTATCCAGGGAACACGCCTTGTGTCTGCCTGCCTGAGAGATCAGTAGCTCTCGGGCAATTACGAAGAAGAACCCTGTACTATCACTCGAAGACACAGCATGTGAATTTCACTGAAGCATCGTGTTGCTGTGGCTGAACAAGCATTTGAGTCTTAAACTCTGATATATACTGTGCAGTTTACAGCAAACTGCACTGTGAACCCAAAGCAAATCACACTGGAACCCACCTGCTCAAAGTGACTACGAGAACAACAACAGTAACTTGGATTTATATAGCGCCCTCCACGCCAGACGACGTCTCAGGACGCTTAACAGTAACGGATCCCGGGACCGAGCCAGGGGGAGGGGGGGGGGGGGGTGGGGGGGGTGACCAAAGGCAAGAAGACATGGAGCAGTGGTTTTCCTGAAATTAGGTTGAGCAGATGGTTTTGCCAGTGCATGGATGTCTACCTCTGCAGTATAATAACAGTCCCTTTAAAAAAATGTAATAATCTTTTTGTTAACAGTCATGTGACACTGAGGAAGTTTCTCCCAGTGCCCAAGTTAACAATCCTCCAGTTAGGTTGGTCATTCACTTCATGTTTGTGGGACATTACTGTATTTAAATTGAAACCTCAATTGATAGCAATTCCCTGTGAAGCACTTTGAGACATCTATTTTACATTACAGGCACTATATCAATTCAAACTTTATTTATTAACACTGTATAAAGAACACTCCAGTATTGCTGTTCTACACATATATTGTTTTCCTCAGTCACTGGCCCATGATTAGGAGTGAGAAATAGAAATGAGGCTTCCCATTCCTAATCGTTTACAGATGGAAGTGATATTTCTTAATACATTAGATATGTATTTCTTCATTTACAGCAGAATTAATTGTTCAGATACATAGGATGAATTTTAGGCAGTAAATCTTTTAAAAGTTGTACAGAATCCTGCTAAAATTATTCTACGCTGCAACATTACATTTAAAATGTAGTGTAATGTCAGGTTACAGATGGTTATCAGGGACATGATGAGGTGCCAAAATCAAAGACACATCAGCTGTCCAACCTGTTATTAAAAGACAGTCAAAGCTTCAGAAACTAAAGATACTTACAGCATAAAATTTTAATACACATTGTATGGATTTTGTTTTCGGCTCTGATAAGCGACCTCATAAAAATGACAAAGAGATTCCCGAAGCAGGTGAGGCAGGCCATAACCCAGACAAACACTCTAAGGATGATGTTTGCGAGGAGATCTTCAAAAGACGATATTCCGTCTGTATTCGGTTTACAACTGCGCACGTGAGGGGAATACTTACAATACTGAAATTTATTGAAGTATCTGAAGAAAAAAGGCAATCAACATTACATCACTCTGAGGAAGCGATGGCTTCCTTCTATTAATATATCCAGTTCTCCAAAACTCATCACTATTAGTGCAGAAGTGTTTAAGTGCAAACTGTGCCACTGCACCTAAGAATACGTGAATATTGATTTCAAATATCAAACTGCACAAATTGTGGCAAGTAAATTCTGATTGCCAGAATTCAGAGGTAAGGCCTCTGAGCAAAACAATAATTGTTCCCCTTTTTAATAATTGTGGCTCTTTTCTCGGGCACTACCATCCTGCAATCAACAACTCACAGGCAATGGCAGAGATAATAGACCACCCTGGCAAGCTTCAGTGTATGTATGGTGCTTTCACCTCCCACTCTGCCTCTCTTCCCATCACTCTCCTAGCTGCCTCGTGTCTCGTACAACTTCATGAGAGGCAGGACTGGTGGAGAGGTGGAGAGGGAGGTACGAGGTGAGGGGACAGTGAGGGGAAAGTGACTCTGGTAACAACCCATTGACCCCCTCAGTTGCAAACCCTGCTCACTGGGCACAGACATTGCTGCAAAATTTTGCACAGCAGAACAAATTTGGTTTGTTCAGATGATAATTCTTTCATTTGGGCACATTTTGTGTTTTGGCAAAGACTGGCTTAAACATAATTTTAATAGTAAAGTGGCCAATTTAACTGTGAGAAGCTCTAAGGGTTATTCCACCAGTGAAAACAGTGTTAAGTCCAAAACCCATCGTGAAGGACAGATTCTAATTGATAACTTCCAGGAATGAAATCCCCAAATTCACCCACTTATGAGAAACTATTTCTTTAAATCTCTTATTTTCTGCAGCATTGTAAGGACAGGTTATACACCAACTCGTTGTAAATCTTTCTAAGAAAGATAAAATATTGCTAATGGACTCACATATATGATAAATTTGTCATAGGTGTGAACATCCTGTTTTCGATGTTTGGGATTTTTATTCCTTCTAGGCTTCTGCAAAAAACAAAATAAACCAATTAACTACTACAATATCAAAGATGATAGATGGACAAGACAAAGTAGATGAGGGAGTGGGCTACATTTATCCATCCATCTTATTGATGTGAGATGATCCATTGCTCTAGTTCTAGAGAAAATTATCCTTGCATTTGATATATGCATTTTATCACGTCTTCGAGACGACTTAAATCACTTCACAGAATATACTGTAAAGTGAATTGACTGTATATTTGTGGGCAAAACACGGCAGCCAATTGCACACAGCAGTGTCCCACAAACAGTCGTGGATTGAGTGACCAAATTATTTAAAACTTATTTTGAAGGAATTATTACCCCCGGAAAAGTGATCCACCAATCGACTAATAACCAGGTTCCTATTTACTGCTAGGTAAACAGAGGCATGTGGAGTAAGGAAACTTACCCAACGTTTCGCCCTGCCGGGAATCGAACCCAGGCAAGTGCTCTAACCAATAACGTACAGGACTCCAACCCTGTACACATTTGGGGGCAGATGGGGGCAGATAGACTGAAAGCCCAACTGCCAATTGTGGGGCGGTTACAGCAAGGGACAGAGACGCAGGCCTGACACAGATGGAGTATCAGGGTTGGTACGGTTTGAGAAGGTCACTGAGGTAGGGTGGGCCATGGTTGTGGGGGGATTTCAAGATGAGGACGAAGATCTCGAACTTGATTTATTGGGACAATGTAAAACATTAGAAGATACATTAAGTAATAAGTTATAGATAGAAACTGACATCACATTAAATATAAAAAGTGTTGAACTTATTTTTAATGTAATAGCTTCATGCTATTCATTTTATTACTTCAAACTGAAGTAATATATTAGACATGTTATGTCTTCTCTGCGTGTTAAAGGTAAGACAAATACAATACCAAATGATTAGATTATGAGATAAGTCATTTTAAAGAGGGTGCACAGCATTTCACTTCATCACAAAAATATAACTTGCTATTAATCAAAGTGTGGTAATTAACTTACAGTGATGCAAGCTTCTTCAAGGGGTCAAACTGATTCAAGTGGATAAGCCTGATGGGATTATGAGATATATTCCTGAAAGAAATCAATATAGATTATTTTAGGTCATAGAAATAAAGAAGTTATTCAAACTCTATTATATAATATAATAAGTTCATTAAGTTCAGATAAAAAAGGAAAACATGCGACTTTAATAGGTTTTGCTTACAAACTGACTAGCACTTGAAGATTTCTGAAAAGTTGTTCAGGGAGTTCCCTAATTTTGTTTGATGATAAATTTCTGAAAAATACAAACAGGTTATCCATGAAAAGAATGATTAATCAATTCCACATCAAGACAAGATACTGGAAAAAACTTGCATGTTTACAGTGTATTGAAATGCCTCAAAATGGTTCAATTTTGTACAGTGCACAATGGAATTTAAAAGGCTGCAGGGTAGAGGAGGAAATGGTTTAGGCAGGGGTTTGATATCCTGGTTGCACTATAATGCCATGGGTTGCCAATTGATATAGTATAATAATAAATATAAATAAATATTAATCCTTGCATTTGATATAGCGCTTTTCATGTTTTCTAGACCTCTGTAAAGTAGATTGACTGTATATTTGTGGGTGAAACGCGGCAGCCAATTGTGCACAGAAGTGCCCCACAAACAATCCTGGATTGACTGACCAAATTTTTTTTTTTAAGGATTATTATCCTCGGTAAAACAATCCGCCAATCGACTAACAACCGGGTTCCTATTATCTTCATTTCGCCCACGAGTGTACAATCAATTCACTTTGCAGTCTGTTCTGTGAAGCGCTTTGAAACATCTAGAAGACGTGAAAAGCTCTATATCAAATGCAAGGATTATTATTTTTAATATTATTACAGAGGAGTGTGAAATAAGGAAACTTGCCCAACATTTCACCCTGCCGGGAATCAAACCCAGGACTCTTGCTTGCGAGGTGAGTGCTCTGCTTCCAATGGTCCAAACAAGCTTGCTTCCAATGGTCTATTTTCTTAAAGGTCCAAATTCTTGCCGAGAACTTTAAAAAGAGTTTCTAAGTTCCACATGTGCGTTTCTTACCCCCCTACCCAATGTGATGAGGATATATAAATCAATCCCCCTCACCTTACTTCCTGCAGTGGAAGATTAAAATTCAAGCAAGCCCAAGGCAAATTAGATAGCCGGGCAGAAATTGTCTCAGCAACAAGAAGCAGATGGTAATGAAAAATAAAACGTTTTGGCTGGAAGCAACAAGAGTAAGGAAGTTAGGTAGCAGTCTGTTGTGGATCCTTCGGTGTTGAAATTTATTATCAAATGCCAGCGGAACAGGAACCTTGTGTAACATTATAACATGTATTGGAGATATTAGGCTATGTAGCCAGTTGACAAATATAAGGAAAATAAATAGAATCAAAAAGACTCAAAATGATAAAGCAGATAGCCAAAAGAATGACAGATGTTTAATGCATAGATAAAAGCAACATAATGCATAATGGCCCAGGAATATAAATGATCCAGCCTTTGAAATTCTGAAAACATGGGTCATGCAGAAGTGAACATGTTATTTTGTTACATAAATATTTGCAAACCTCTTCAGTAGAGGTACAAAGACCAAAGATGATGGGATTGAATAAAAGCATTACTGGGCAAAGCGTGTGCTGTTGGATCTCTCCTGCTCTGAAAGAATCCTTCATTACATTCTCTGCTACAAGCATCCAGCAGATGGTTTGGCATGGATAGCTTGCATTATTCTTTTTCTTGTAGCAGTTTAACTGTTCAGCAGTCATAATTATAATTAAAGCTCAAACTGCCAAGATTGTAGCTTCATCCTGAGGAATATCTCACTCTGGATCATTTAAGATAATCTGGCTTTGGGACCTAAATTCGATGCTCCCATTCAATAACACACCTCCGCAGAACTTAAATCAGATCAGGACTAGAAACCTGACGATTATTTTGTCTCTTATTATTAAACAAATTTATTCTGCCTCCTTCAATGGTCTTTTGCTCTTTGTGCAGAAAGAAAGTACCCACCTGAGTAAAAACAAGCTCAATGAATTGTAATTTCGAGAGTCAAGACTTTTTGAAAATCTGTACGAATAAGGTGTAATGTATAAAAGATGTCATTAGAAAAAAATGGATAAACTTACAAATCTCCCAGATTATGTAACGGAGCAAATGTGTTTTCTGAAATGGTGGTAATTTCATTCTTGAATAAAGCCCTGCCAAGAAAACAAAAACATTTCTTTCAAAATAAAACCAGACAAATTCCTGCTTAATCACAGTGTTGCACATTTTTTTCATAGAGATGAGTACTGAAGGAGATATGGGCAGTGAAGGGGCTTTGTGCTTTTGTCTTCACATCTAGCTATTCTGGGGCACGATACCACACATTCAGCTCTTGTCCAGCTCCCAACTCTCCATTCACAGAAAAAGGTGCCCCTCCACACATAAACACACAATAAATATATGGGTAAAGGCATCTATGGGCACACGCTAGTGGAAGTGAATGCTTTATAGCCTCCATCTAAAGACTGAGAGATATGAGGTAGTATCGACTCCCTTCCCGGGGGGATGTATCAGAGGAAAACAAAAACCTTTACAATTATATGAAAGGCCATGAGTAAGAGGTCTGGAGAAATATGCTCCCAAAACTCCAAGGTCCTGTAGAAAACAATAGCTGACCTCACTGCCATTCCAACTATTGTGAGATGAGCCATGGCATTGCCTCACCAATGTGGCCATATCCCTGAATTAATGATGATAAAGTCCTTGATCCTGAAGTGCCCAATGTCTCAACTAACTCTGCCCAGTGATGCCAACAGTCCTAATGCATCAGTGAACACTCCAGGTGAACAAAATGTGCAGCAGGGCTAAATACCACTATACCAACCATTAGCAACTCGGAAAAATGAACAAAAACAAATACACATCCACCAATTACCTAACTTAACATGTTGAAAAAAAGAACAAGCCAATTACTTCTTTTAAATGTTTGTATATTCAAAGCGCCCCCTCAATTCGGCTTGAAATAGTGCCCTTTACCTCTATAATTTTGAAATCATGATTAATATTCCCTCCAAAAACCAAAAACAATAATTAAATTGGTCATTTTCAATCTACAACTGTTTGTGGGATATTGCTGTGCGCAATTGGCTGCCGCGTTCGCCCACAAATATACAGTCAATTCACTTTACAGTATATTCTGTGAAGCGCTTTGGGACGTCCTCCCGATGTGAAAAGCGCTATATCAAATGCAAGGATTATTATTATTATTATAATATATTACAATTCATTGTTCAATCTGAAACTACCTTAAGAGGTTACTAAAGCTTTAGCAGACTTGTTGGCATTGACATTCGGGTTTACTTTGTCACCTTTGCTATTGTGAATTCATTTCTTCCACCATTTGCCTTCTCACGGATAAATGCACTCTTTCACAACTGTTATTTCATCCTTTACTAACAATGCCAGTCTATGCAGTGTCTCGATATGTTTACCTTTGCAAAACATTCTGTTCTCACTTAGCATAATCTCTTGCCAATCTCCTGCATTCAGCAACCTCTAAGATCCAAACAAGTTGGATATTTTCACAAGCTCGGCCTCCACTTTCAATATTCTATGCCTATTGCTCTCTCTATTACCAAAATATATTTAAAACTATTTATTCAAAACTCTTATTATCTGAATTCCACTCAGTCCCCTTGGTTTACCAATTGATGCCTGCGTCTGCCAAGATGATTGAATTGAAGAAACCTCATTTTTGTTCAACTCTCAACTGTCCTTCAAATCTTCCGTCTCTGCTCTGTCATAGTCTGTTTTCTTCCATTTCTACAACATCGTTTGGCTCCACCACTGCCTCACTCCCAACATGTTATCTATAATTTAGATTGTGCAAAACTTTGAAAAATTCTAAAATGACCAGCGTGGACTAGTTGGGCCAAATGGCTTATTTCTGTACTCCACAGTCACTGTATGTTTTAATTTGGAAGCTGGTTTTCTATAACTTTTTTAAAAAAACCCTCAAATTCTGCACAATGTTAAATTTAAGGGTAAGGCCTTAAGAAATGTTGGGCCTCTGATCTTTAGGAAAACAAAGCAAATAATGTGGTAGAACAATCTGCAATAATTATGAGATTCTCTCACTCTCTTTCCCACAGAAGCACAACTATGCTGTATAAATATACTTACAGCACTGTAAGCTTATCACATCCCACGAAAGATGAATAATTTAATGATTTGATTCGGTTACCTTCAAAATCCCTATAAAAGCAAATTAATATTGAAATAAATACATTCGAGGCCTAATAAAACAATATATGTAACAACAATACTGATTGCAAATCAGTAATAAATGATAATGTATGAAATCAGAAATATAAGCAAGTATAAGAGTATTCACTCACAGCCATTGTAAATTTGGAGTTTCAGCACATATAGAGATATTTGGAAATTCCTCTATTAAATTGTATTGCATGTTCCTAAAAACAAAAAATGAAAGCAGATTTACTATAGAATATTTACCATAATTTGGGGGCAAATATATAACAGCCCATTTCTTTTGTAGGCTTATTTTCGGTCCTCTCCTTTATCTCAATTATATGCTCCCTCTTGGTGATATCATCCACAGACATGGGGTCAACTTCCACATGTATGCGGATGATGCCCAAATCTATTTTCCTACTCTAGTTACGACTCCAGTCCTACCAATGTTCTGACTGCTTGTATCTGACATCAAGGCCTGGATGAGCGCCAACTTTCTGCAGCTGAAAATGGACAAGACGGCTCCGATCAACATCTCACCTGCAGTTCTGAACTCCTTAACCTTCCCTGCTTATCCTTCAGACTCATTGAACCTACATGCAAACTTGGTGTAAGGTTTGATCCCACGTTATCCTGCCTACCCCACATCCGGTCCCTGACCAGAATTGCCTTCCTCCACACCGCCTGCTTTCTTACTTCAAATCTTACTTCAAATGCTGCTGAAATTCTCATTCATGCTTTCGTCACCTTCACCTCAATTTTTCCAATGCCCTCCTACCAAGCTCAACTATTAACAAGGTTCAAATTATTCAAAACTCTGCCACCCATGTCCTCACCCAAATCAGGCTCCATGCTCCCATCACTCCAGTTCTTGCCAGGCTCCCTGTTGCAAAACAGATCGATTTCAAGGTCCTCACTCTCACTTTCAAATCTATTCATGCCCTAATACCTCCCTACCTCTCTGATCTGCCCACACCACACTCCTCTACCCACTGCCTTCGCTCAGCTGGCACGGGTCTGCTGTGTGTCCCTTGTTCCCTCTGCTACATTATTGGCAGCCATGTTTTCAGTTACTATGTCCCAAATCTCTGGAACTCCTTGCCTCAAAACCTATGTCTTGTACCTTTTTTGCCTATCTTCAAATGACACCTCTTCAATTGATTAGCTGTGCTTCTCACCCTCCCCTTTCCAGCTCACTATCAAACCACATTGTTGTTTAGCACTCTGAGATACTACCCATTGGAGGGCTCTAAATAAATGCAAGTTGTTGCTCTTTACTCATGCTAAGGTCAAACAATACTGGATAGAAAAATAACTCTGCCTTGCATCCATTGCAACTGAGAGATGGAACATAGATTTGCTTAAAATTATATAGCAGACAAACAGGCCATTTGGCCCAACTTGTCTGCCCCAATGTTTGTTTATACTCCACACGAGTCTCCACCCACTCTTTACTCCTTCTTCCTCATGTATATCTAACTCATGTATATAAATGTATCTATATTATCTGATTCAACCGCTGTGTGAAGTAGTTCCTCCTAATTCTCTTTTAGATCCCCTAGTCACTATCTTATACTTGTTACCCAGCATGTTGGGACAACCTGTCCTTAGCCTGAGTGAAAAATGACAACAACTTGCATTTATATACAGCCCCTCAAGTGGGTAGTATCTAGGAGCACTATATAAGTAAAATTGGTTGTTGTTGTTGTCCCAGGTTACAGACTCCAACAAGTGGAAACAGCCTATTCATGCTAACCCTATTGAACCCTTTTATAATTTTGAATACCTCATGCCAGAGCATTTTGACCATGCCAGAGATATTACAACAGGAACCATAGAATGGCCATAGTCAATATCAATCAGTTCTTGGAGAGCATTCCTATCCTTACATGCTCTCAGATAGTTTACAGAAGATTTGATCATTTGTGCTATACTTCAGAACATTTTGGTGACTTATGCCACAGTTCTATCCTAGGCACTGTCTTGATTTTTCTCTTTGTCTCCTGGGGTTTTGATAAAGTCAACAGGGAGACATCTTTACTAATAGGTGAATCAGTGGTGAGAGGCCATCCACTTAAGATAGTTGCCAAACGAGAAAATGGGGAATTTAGGGAAAAGTTTTCACAAATACGGATTAGGATATGGAATCCCCTGTTGGGAGCAGTGGTTGAGGCAGAATCCATATTGGCTTTCAAAAGGGAACTAGGTAAATATCTGAAAAGGAGTAAACTGTAGGGTATTGGGGAAAGGCAGGGAAATGGGACTGTAAGGATTGCTCTTTAAAAGAGCCAAAACAGACATCAATGCAGTACATTTCTAACGTTCTACTGTTCTATGGCTCCTAAACCACAGTGTCATGAGCCAAAGTTATACTGCCAACAACAACAACTTGCATTTATATAGTGCCCCTCACACAGGGTAGTATCCCAGATTCATATTGCTCTGGCTATGGGCTTGGTGAACGCAGAGGTCAATTTCTGTACAGCAATGCCCCACAAATAGCCATGAAGTGAACAATCCATTTTATTTGGATGATTGTTGGCTAGGACAACTTCTCCCTTTTCTTTTCAAATAGTGCCGTGGGATCTTCCATGCTAACATGAACAGGCAGATGGGACCACAGTTTCATGTCTCATCTGAAGGACGGCACCTCCAACAATGCAGCACATCCCTAGCTCGGGTTGCCAACTGTCCGGTTTTGGACCAGAAAGTCCAGTTTTAAGTGAATATGTACAATATCTGTCCAGTCAGAAGCATTGACCAGATACCAATAGTCCGGTTATTGTTCTCACAATAAAAAACAAATGCTGGAGTGAGAACACTCGCAGGGCTGGTATATACAGGCACACAACTCAGCCATTTCCCAACTTCACAGCTAAGGTTTCTTTATTGTGTCCCACAATGAGTCAGGTCCCGTTTTCCATTGGCACGGCAGGGAGAAGAGAGCAGCCTGTAGCTGGAGGACAGTGACGGAGAGGCACTATAGGGAGGAGGAGTGGGCAGCCGTCGGGTTGGGAGAAGGTGAGGTGGCTACAGTGGCCTGCAGGCAGAGGGGAAGGGATCAAGCGGCCAAACGCCCAGCGTCCCCAGCATGCGCAGAGCACAGAGCATGCTCATAAAAACATGCAGTGTAGTAATGGACCCTGGTGTCCGGTTTTGAGAAACTGGAAAGTTACCAACCCTACCCCCCAGCACAGCATTGGAATATTAACCTAGATTATATGAGATCAAAATCCCAACGTCGGGTTTGAATCCCCAAACTCTAACTGTGTGGAGAGAGTGCTAACAACTGAGCAGGCTGATGTATCCAAATAAGAGTGAGAGTTCCACATGTATATGTCACCTATGCAAGGAAACTTCCGAATCTGGAATGGAGTACACTCTTTTTACCCAGCAGGGACAGACCCTGCTTACCTAATTTCAGCAAATATTAGGTGCAGGTTGGACTCCTGAATGCGTGTTGGGGTACTACTGGAGTTTAACTAGCTAAACCCACATAGCCTGCTACTGAAAGCACATATGGGAAACTTTCCGCTGTTTGTACAGCTAGATCACCCAATCCATTAAGGCTTTGGCTTGCAAGATTAATAGGAACTGAATGGAAAGAATCCCTGTTCCCTCCAAGAATTGCCAATGACAGTGCATTGCTGTCATCAGCAATGCCTTGAAGTCAAACACAACCTTCAGATACTGATGCAAATCAACAATTGGGATGGATATCTTTGTTCACTTGCCCTGTATTTCATAGCTGACTCATTCGTTCTGTATCTCAAACCTGGCTGGCATATACTTCATCTAGTAGCTGGCTGATACATCCTACATCTCATAGCTGGCTGGCACATTTTGTACCTTATTGCTCGCTCACTTGCCCTACATCTCTTACTCACTGGCACACTCTGCATTTCATTGCTGGCTCACTCATTCTGCATCTCCGAACCTCCTGGCTCACACCTCATTCCATAGCTGGCTTGCTCATATTCACTTAAGTTCATTACAGTTATTTAAAATGAAAAACAAAAGTCTCAAATAGTTACTGAATGGAAAAAAAGAGTTTGTACTTACAACATAGACAAAGACCTCAATCCAAAAAATACCCGAGATGTAATTTTTGATATTTGGTTGTCTTCAACAATTCTGAAAAAAATAATTAACAGTAGTTCAAAAGAGAATGCAAATGGTACAAGTGTACTAAGTGTATAAGTGTACAAGTAAACTAGTGTTTACCCAATTACAAATTGTTCATGGGATCTTCAAGGATTTCTTCAGATGTTTGGGGAAGCACTTGTATTTGTAAACATTATATTTATTCAGAAAATTGAAATAATTAGGTTACTATGTCAAATTAGGTTTTGGGATTCAATGACAACAACTTGCATTTATATAGCTCCCTTCAGGTGTGGCAGTGCCTTGGAGAGTTTAACAGTGGCAGAGCCTGTCGCAGAGCTGGGGGAGCAGGTGACCATAAGCATGGTCGAAGAGGAAGTTGTGATCTAAAAGAGTGCAAGGAGCGGGTAAAGCATAGAGATTGAGGGAGAAAGTTCCAAAGCTTTGAGGCATAGTGGCTGAAAGCGCAGCAAAGCCCCCCACAAAAAAAACATTAGGTTGTTCAGTCTAGCTAAATTGCTATCATTTTAAGGAATAATGTATTCCGTGGCAAGATAGACAAGTGAAGTGCTTTGATACATTGCTGATATTTTCAGCACCATATCAAATGCAAGGATTATTTGTTTGTATATAAATGGTGTACAGAACTATCAGGTGCCTTCAGTTCCTCTCTCGACTCTCTACCCTCTCCTCGCTCCCTCCCTTCCCTCCCCTCACCCTGAACCCCTGCTCGGGTCCCGACGCAACTGTCCAGCGCCTTGAGACGTCCTCCCGACGTGAAAGGCGCTCTACCAATGCAATCTTGTTGTTGTTTCTGCTGCAAATATACCCAGTTAATTAATATGGATTAAAAATTATCTTAAATGCTGCAAAAACATTGTATAATGTTTCGCTCATAAAATAGACAGTCAAACCACTTTACAGTATATCCTTGAAGTACTTTGAGCTGTCTCAATGATGTAATAAGGTACGATATCAAATGCAATGATTGTTATTATTTTAATCATTGATGATTCTGCATGACAGTAATAGATGCCATTAGATGGAAATGTTAAGATACTTACAGCCATTCCAAACTGTGAAGATCTTGAAATACACGTGACTTAAACATTGTAATTCGATTCCCACTCAGGTACCTGGAGAGCAAATCCATACAGTTGACTAACATTATTGTGCATAAAATTAAAAGCTTAAAATAAAATTGTCAAAAATTGTAGTTTAGAACAGCAAGAATAAACTGTTCTCAATAAGAATGGGTTAAAGTTTGATGTGATTGGTAAGTATCATCAGGTTTATGTTAATGAGTTGTTGAATTTCACAACCTTATTTCAATCTTTCACAAACTATCTTGTGAAATGGAAGAAAGACCACTTTTGGAAGCTTTACAGGTGACCTATCATTAATTAGCTGATTATATTGTCATAAAGAGCAATTATCTCTCTGCTTTTGTATAAAAAGGCAAAAAGAACTGTGCTGGAAATTATACTTGTCTACTTAAGTAGGAGAAGCAATGTTCCACAGTTAAATTGTGGCAAATATTTAAAGTACAATTGTGACTGAGAAAAACAACAACAACAACAAGATTCCATTTATAAAGCGCCTTTCACGTCAGGAGGATGTCCCAAGGCGCTGAAATGTTGCAGATGGCAACAATTATTTTATTTGAACTATTTTGAGGGCAAACTATTTTGAGGGCAAACACAAACTAGCGACTCTGTGAAAAATAAATCTTCCTAATCTCTTCCATTCCTCCCTTGCTAACTATTTTAAGTTGATGCCCTTTCATCACTGACTCACCAACCATTAAAAATAATTTATCCATATGGATCCTCAAAACCTTGAGTAATGTAAGAACATCTATGAGTTCTGCCCTCAATCACCTCTGTTCCATCTCATGTAACATGAATTCTTAGTATGCTTTACAGTATACCAAATAAAACACTCTTCATGCTTTGCTGTGACACAATGTGGAATATCAAATTTGTATATGTGATTTTGTACATCGTACTTACCAATAAACTCTCCAGTTTTAATGTTAACGAATTAACCTGCTCAAAGAGTCTCTGTGATTAAGCACACACAAAATAATAATACTTACATTTGGTATAGTGCCTTTCATTTTGAGAGGATGCCCCAAAGCTAAAACTGCATTGTTTGCTATCGAGAGCATTGTTTGGCAAGCTTTCCCATTGCTTGTCCAGCTAGGACCACACTATCCATTAGAGTTTGGTCTTGCAGAGTTAATAGGACCTGAGTGGGAATATTTCCTGCTCCCCAGTGACTGCTTTGCCTTTGCATATCCTGCTGATGAGCCAGGCTGGCTGTGCTGTTATCAGCAGTGCCTTGGAGTACTTGGACCCACCTGGCTCAGGAACCGGATTACCAAGCCCCCCCCAGAGGGTTGAACTTGATTCCCATATTGCCATACATGTCACCTTGGAGCCAATTCAGTTCCAAGGAGACCTGCATGCCTCTTGGGGTGGGGGTGCTGGGAGGGTGTTACATTGTTAACGATATTGTCTTTTGGCTTAGAATTTAAACCGAGGTTGCGTCTGCTTTTTCAGGTAGATGTCAAGGATCCCATAGCACTATTGTAAAAGATTCTATTCTTCTAGCGTCCTGGCCAACAAAGCAAGCCCCAAGTAAAATTGGCTATGTATGCAAATTGGCTGCATCAATTGCCTATAAAGTACACAGACACTATACTTCACAGTTGTGAAGCACATTGAGATATCCTCCTGACTTGAAAGGCACTATATCAATTGTAAGAGTTATTTTTAGCATTATCACTGACTATAACTGCAAACTAACTGTTTACTTACAGTTTTGTGAGTTTGTAAAGTCCACAAAATGCTCGTTTTGAGATGGATCTTATCTGGTTACCTTGCAGAAATCTGCAAAGGAATAAAACAACATGACTTAGTTGTGTTATTAAAAGTTGTGAACGACATTTGTAAGCGTCTACCAGGTGGCCAAAGAAACTTTTGGGTTGAAAAAGTTCTCATTGGGAAAACAGGTAAATGACCCCTCAACCTGGAAAAGCACCTCGGGACAGAAAATATATCTCCTCCAGGGAACTCCATTTGTGCCATGTTGATGTGTGCAACACCTCCACTGCAATTCAAGATTTGATCGGCAATGAGATCCCACATGTTAGTGAGACATATGAAGGGTTCCCAGCGGGAAGACACATTTTAAGTGCCAATTGGAATTTGTAAGGTATCATTTGCACCAATGTTTTCCTGATGAGGGTCTTTCCAACCCCATCATTTTGTAAAGAAACTGATAAGAATGATCAAGCAAGAGGTGGTGCAACAGGCATTGAGATAATGTTTTAGCGAGCTGGAAGTCTGACATACGGGGAAACCCAACACCATGCTTAAGAGTATCCAAACCAAACCGAGTTCCATGAGTGCCAAATTGCACATATAATTTCCCTTGTATTGGAGTGGAATGCAGACTCTCTTCCTGGAGGGTTGCATCCTTCTTACCCAATTCTGAAGAGCACTAGCCTAACAAGAGCAAAAGCTTGGGAACCTCAGTATGTGAATTGGGGTACTGTTAGAATTTAACCCAAACAAAGATAATTATTTCCCACTCCCCCAGAGGATAATCACACATTGATAAAGACAACTCATTTCTTCTTCTATCTATATTTTTGCACTGGGGCTAAAATAATGCATATGGCATGTTAAAGATTTCAATGACTTGGACAAAAAAAATTTATAAAATATTTGATATTGTGTCCACTTAAAATCAAACTTAGCATATTTTCCTGAGATACTAACATACTGGACAATATGGCACTTGGGTTACAGCTGGATCCAGAACTCAGCTTTGCAATGAAAGCACAGTATAATATTGCTGTACTCTTGCAGGATTTTGCCACTGAATATACATTACAATATAGTTTACAGTACAATTTACATTTATATAGCACCTTTCAAGCATATTGGGTGTGAATGTGTTAAAAAATTGTAATCTAATGAAAGGCATTACTGGCTGGTCAACACAATGACACTGGCAAGAGCTGTCAAAAGCTGTCTAAGTCTGTGATCAGGAAATGTTGTTCGGTTGAGTATTCAAGTTGCTAGTGATAAAAGTGCATTCAGAATAATGTGCAGAATAATATAAATGGTATCCCTAAACTATTATAATGTACTCATTATACTCATGCTGCTCAATCTCATTGCAACAATAAAACAATAACACAAATAATACAAAAATAGAATATCCCAAAATACTGCATTCAGTGCTTGGGACTTAGCTTTCCAAAGGGAACTAGATAAATACCTAAAAAGAAGTCCAAAAACAAGGCAAGGGTCAAGTAACTGGGACTGAAAGGATGTCTCTTAAAATAGCCAATGGGCTGAATGGTCTTCTGTGTTGTAAATGTTATGGTTCTAAGAAACTCAGTAGTTAAGTACTTGGGTTGGGCAGGAATGTTTTGGATTCAAAACCACTCAGCCTTCAACAACAACTTGCATTTATATAGCGCCCTACATGCAGGTTTGCTTATCACAGCATTGCACAATGGTGAGGTTGTACATTTCCAAGGTCAATAAAGAAAAATATATTTTCTTTATGGAAGAGGTAAGCAGGATCTCCCATGGACTGAAAAGGCTTTGAAGAGACCTGTCTCGCTGGTCTACAGTAATCCAAGGAGTTAAAGTTAAGCACTGCAAGCCAAACCTCTTGTAAGTAGAGTGATCCCAGCTGGGATTATTTTTAGCATTATTAAAAACACATAATCAAATGGGAAAATAAGAATAAACACCAAATCTGGAAGTAATAATACAATCATATTTGGTGAAGATAAATGAAAACGTTACTTACAGTCCCTTCAGTTCTCTGTACTTGATAAAAACATTAGCAGGAAGGCTTTTGATTTTGTTTTGCTCCAGAGACCTAATGTTGGACAAGAATAGTTTTAATATTAAAGGTGAAGTTGGTATGTAGTGAGATTCATTTTTATTGAATCAACAGCATATAAGAGCTCAAATAACAATAAATGGACAACACATGCATGAAAAGGGAGCTTGATAAGAGTAAGGCTGTAGATGCTGTATATCTGGATTTCATTAAGGCCTTTGATACAGTTATAATGTAACAATAAAAATCCTTTTATTTGATATAGCGCTTTTCACGTTTTCCAAACGTCTCAAAGCGCTTCATGCAATATACTGTAAAGTGAATTGACTGTATATTTGTGGGCGAAACGTGGCAGCCAATTGCGCACAGCAATGTCCCACAAACAGTCGTGGATTGAAGAAACTGATTTATTATTGTTTTTAGAAATCAAGAGAAATCCAATCACGGAGAAATCAAACCCAGGTTTCTCTCTTGCGAGGCAAGTCCTCTAACCATTGAGCTAAATACGGTTCCTCTTGAGAGGCTGGTACTGAAAGTGAAAAAAAGCGGGAATCAGTGGAGGTATATTACAATGGACATGCAATTGGTCGACCGAAGACCCAAAGGGTGATAGTACAGAGAATGGCATCACACTGGGAAAATGTTACCAGTAAAGTTCCACAAGGGTCTGTTTGGGACATCTTTTGTTTAATCTTTTTATAAATGATCTGGAACTAGGAGTCGCAAGTACAGTTGCTAAGTTTGCAGATGACACCAAGCTAATGAAGGTGGTAGATTGCGAAGCTGAACAAGATAGGTTACAGGAGGATTTGAACATACTTGGGAATTGGGCAGATCAGTGGCAGATGAAATTCAATGTGGAGAAATGTAAAGTACTTCACATAGGGACAAAAAATCCTGGAAGGGACTATTATTTGAATGGTAGGAAAATAATATGTATGGAAAATGAAAAGGACCTGGGGGTCCTGATTGACAATAAATTGAAGCTCTCCCAACAATGCTCTGTGTCAGTGAGTAAAGCAAACCAGAAATAGTGGGGTAATCCTGCCACTGTATAAATCATTGGTGAGACCAAACTTAGAATACTGTGTATAATTCTGATCGCCGCAGTACAAAAAGGACTTTGGAGAAATTGAGAAGATACAGAGGAGGCCAACCAAAATGAATGAGTCAATGGAAGCACTGGACTATGACGAGCAACCAAGTAAATTAGACGTGTTCATGCTGGAAAAAGGCAACATGATTGCTGTCTTTATGATTCTAAAGGAGCTAGACAATATAGATCATGACAGGCTATTTCAAAGTGTCCAGAATAGTAAAACCAGAGGACACGGCCTGCGATTGAAGGAGGTAAATTCAGAACCAATCCAAGCAAAAATTATTTCAGTGAGCGAATAGTGAACCTGTGGAACAGGCTTCCTAGGGAGACGGTTGAAGCAGGAAGTTTTGATTCTTTCAAACACAGATTTTCTTTTAGGAAATAACATTATGGGATATAGTGCATAGGTAGTTTGGGACATATGTGCATGCAACCGCCAGGAAGGTGGAAGGCGAACTAGATGGACCTTGATCCTTTTTCATTTAGAGTTTATGTTCTTATGCACAGTTGACATAGAAGATAAATACTTTCTGTCATCTTCTCACAGAATCATGGAACATTACTGCAGAATGAATGGCTGTATCTATTTTAGGTATTTAAAGTAATAATAGGAATTGATAGATTGGATTGTAGATGACTCTTCCCTTTGGTAGTTGGTAGCACTCTTACCTTGGAGAAGGAAGGTTCTGGGTTCAAGCACCACATCAGGACTTTGAACCAAAAATAGGCTAGGCTGACACTCTAATAGATATTCGGAAACTCGATACATGCATAAAGGGCAACGGAATAGAACGGATCATTTACCAACTGGCCATCAAGTCTTGTGATGTGAATATGGACTAGGATTCACTTTTCTTGGTCAGCTGGGTGTCAGACACATGTGGAAACCCATCACCAGCTTAACAGTATCCAAATCAAATGGAGTTCCATGCATCCCACCCACCCATGAAAATTCCTGAGATATTTATTCGGAAATGTGCACTGGAGGGATGCATCCTGCTTGCCAAATTCCCAGAGAGTATTAGGCGCAGGTTGGCAAGAGTTAAGGCTTGGGAACCCAGAGTATGCATTGGGGTACTACTGGAATCTATAACAACAACTTGAATTTATATAGCAACCCTCATGCAAGGTAGTGTCCCAGAGTCTAACCAGCAGCTACCACTGATAGCACTGTCTGGTAAGCTTTTCCACTGCTTGTTCAGCTACGAACACCCTACCTGCTAAACTTTGACTTGCAGGGTTAACAGGAGCTCAGGGGAAGAATACCTATCCTCAGTGACTGGTCTGCCCTTCCAAGTCCTACCAATGACCTGGGTCAATAGAAAAGTGTGGCCGCCCACCTTTTCTGCATTCTCCGCTACAACGACCCTCGCCTTCTACAAACCCGTCATAAATTAGTTTCTGGCCGTTCGCGCTGTTCACCTGACATCACTGTGGGCAGAGCAGCTCCGGATGCACATGCGCAGGTGCAGCGCAAGCGGCAAATGGGCTTCACTCGAAGGTCTTGCTGTTGTAATTTTCTGTGCGTGTCTCTTTGTGAGTGTATCTATGTCTCCTCTCTGTGTGAATGTGTGCCTCTCTGTTTGTNGTATGTATCTTTGTGTCTATGAGTGTGTGTGTGTGTCTCTCTCTGAGAATGTGTCTCTCTGTGTCTGTGAGTGTGTATCTCTCTCTCTGTATGTCTCTGAGTATGTGTGTTTTTCTCTCTCTCTCTGTCTGAGAATGTGGAGTCCTGTAGCTCAGTGGTTAGAGCACTCGCTTTGCAAGCAAGAGACCTGAGTTCAATTCCAGGCACAGGGCGAAACCTTGGGCAAGTTTCCTTACTCCACACAGAGCCTAATAATAATCCCTCCAAAACCAAAAACAATAATAAATTGGTCATTTTCAATCTACGACTGTTTGTGGGACATTGCTGTGCGCAATTGGCTGCCGCGTTCGCCCACAAATATACAGTCAATTCACTTTACAGTGTGTTCTGTGAAGCGCTTTGGGACGTCCTCCCGACATGAAAAGCGCTATATCAAATGGAAGGATTATTATTATTATTAATGTGTCTCTCTGTGTCTGTGAGTGTTTGTGTCTCTCTGTGTCTCTGAGTGTCTGTGTGTCTGTCTCTCTGGGTCTGAGTATGTGTGTGTGTCTCTCTCTGTGAGTGTGTATCTCTCTCTCTGGGTCTGAGTGTGTGTGTTTGTCTCTCTCTGTATCTCTGAGTGTGTTTCTCCCTCTGGGTCACTGTGTCTGTGAGCGGTACCGGCCCTGAGGAGGCAGGAGGTGGTGAGCTCCTGCAGCCTCGCAGGTTTCCCGTCCTCAAAAAAGGCCACCCAGTTTTTGTTAAAGAAGCAATTAAAAATTTTTTTTGCAACAATCTAATATGTGTTATTTCCATATGTTTACTTTTTATCAATAAAGTGAAAAAAGTAACAGTAAAATGTACCCCAAAGGCACCAACCACCAAAGGCAATTCTAGCAAAGCTCTCCACAATCCCCTGCAAGATTTACGAAACGCTCTGCAATTTTCGGGAAAACGTCTGCATTTTTCTGTTGGCCCAGGCAATGACCCAGGCTTGTCGTGCTGTCAACGCAGTGCCCTGGAGTATTGCGGAGCTGCCTGGCTCAGGAACTGGATTCCTGAGACCGCCACAGAGGGTTGGCTCGATTCTGATATTTTGTTACCAAACACATTACCTTGGAGCCAGTTCAACTCCAAGGAGACTCCAATTATCACCCCCCTCCCCCACCGAGGATAATACGTGTTCACTTCTTCAACTGCTTTATGGTCTCTAAGTTTGCTTCTAGTTTAGATTCTTACATTTCAAAATTGATGAACTCAGATATGAACATTTCGAAGAGAAATGACGATCGCTCACCATTGTGAATTAGCTGAACAGACATCATCTATTCTAACTCCTTCAACTTCCCCTCAAACCAGAGTTGCCATCTTCTCTTACAGTCCAGAATTGCAAGCAATGAGGCAAGAAATGATGTAAAACTACCTGATGAGGTTGAATTATTTCCTGTGCTAAATTTATATACTCTGTTGCAGTCAATTTCAGGATACACTCGGGCAAGAAATGCAGAGAATGAGAGCAAGTCACTGAATTAAATCACAAAAAACATAAAATAGTTTTTGAGTACTTCATGGTTAATATAGAGTTATGCTGCCACTTAATAAATAATAATCCTTGCATTTGATATTTTGCATTTGATACTGCACTTTTCACATCTTCTAGACGTCTCAAATGCTATAAAGTGAATTGACTGTATACTTGTGGGCGAAACGCGGCAGTCAATTGTGCACAGCAGTGTCCCACAAACAGTCATGGATTGAAAATAATCAATTTATTATTGTTTTGTTTTCTGGAGGGATTATTATCAGGTGTGTGGAGTAAGGAAACTTGCCCAAGGTTTCGCCCTGCCTGGAATTGAACCCAGGTGTCTCGCTTGCAAGGCTGAGCTGCAGGACTCCACACTTCCAAATAAGTAAATAATAATCCTTGCATTTGATATAATGGTTTCATGTTGAAAGGACATCTTAAAGCTCTTGACCAGATTTACTATAAAATGTAATGACTGTATTTTCTGTAGGCAAACATAGAGGCCAATTTTCAGACATCTTACAAATACCCCTGAATGTTATTTTGGGTCACCTGCGGGGTACCCCAGGGCTCCATCCTTTGGCCCTCTTCGTTTTCTTATCTATATGCTCCCTCTGGGCGATGTCATCCAGACAAGGGGTAAACTTCCACATGTATGCGGATGGCACACAAATCTACTTTGCCTCCTCCAGTACCAACTCCAGGTTCGCCGATGTTCTATCAGTTTGTCTGGCAAACATCAGGGCCTGGATGAGTGTAAACTTCCTGCCGCTGCATATGGACAAGACGGAAGCCATACTCCTTGGCTCCCATCAACGTCTTCACTCCTACAGATCTAAACTCCTCAACCTCCCTGGGCTCTCCCTCACATTCACTGAACCAATGCACAATCTAGGCGTCCGGTTCGACGCCCATTGGAGGTCACACTTTTAGCCACTACACCCTGAAACTCTGGAACCCTCTCCCTCAATCCCTCCACCTTGCCCCATCTCTCCCCTTTTTCAAGTCCTGCCTGAAAACCGTCCTGTTCGACCGTGTTTATTTTATAGTAAATCCTTTGAGACATCACCCCACCACCTCGATATGAAGGACTCTATATCAAATGCAAGCATTATTATTAGACATAACAGACAGAGCTGCACAAGGTAAATACGTGAATACTTACAGAGTAGTGACATTTGCTGAAACCTGCGGCACAAAGTGTAGGTTCACATCTATACATTCCAGGTGTGTGTTCTGGCAATCACATATTGGAGGATAGCGGGGAAGTACTGGAAAACAGGCAGACAAAGCTGTTTATATCCAACAGACTTATCTTCTATGCACCAGTTAAATGTTGCTGTTCTTTATTTAGGTTTCATTTTAGTAAAAGAGGAGTAAAGTCAGTAAACTAGAACATTTGAAAAATCAACAATATTTACTGACCAACAATAATAATAATAATCCTTGCATTTGATATAGCGCTTTTCACGTCGGGAGGACATCCCAAAGCGCTTCACAGAACATACTGTAAGGTGAATTGACTGTATATTTGTGGGCGAACGCGACAGCCAATTGCGCACAGCGAAGTCCCACAAACAGTCGTGGATTGAAAATGACCAATTTATTATTGTTTTTAGTTTTGGAGGGATTATTATTAGGCTCTGTGTGGAGTAAGGAAACTTGCCCAAGGTTTCGCTCTGCCTGGAATTGAACTCGGGTCTCTCACTTGCAAAGCGAGTGCTTTAACCACTGAGCTACAGGACTCCACAAATGCAAAATAAAACATGCTCGCATGTCCAGGTTGATAAATATACCAACAACTAGAAAAATACTCAGATGTAAATTATTTACTCTACCACTGTACTATATCTTATGTGTCATGTGCACTTCTGATTGGCAGTTACAAGGTTAAGGCTGTTTAAGTAGATAGTTTACACAAAAGATTTTATGACTTTTTTTTACTTCAAGTCACAAGGATCCTGAAGAGGTCAATTATACCAGAATGATTATATCATCACCAGGACATTTTAGGGACAAATTTTATAAGGTTTAATATTTTTCAGTGAATATATTACTTGAAAGTGTAAGTGAAATTAAAATCCTATAGACAGTGTGTGTCTATAGGATTTTAAGCATTTGGGATGTCCTCCCGATGTGAAAGGCGCTCTACAAATGTAATTTGTTGTTGGTATTGTGTGAGAGAATGAACCAGAGAAGAAGTTGATGGTGGACCTGAGAAGACCAATGAGACATGCCTAAGACAACAGCAGACTGAGACTAACGTACTTACTGCATTCAGTTGATTGACTTTCTTTGTAGGACAACCAGTATCTAGTTGCGGAAATAGTATCAAGCATATCTGCCCAGCCATTATTATCTTCTAAAAAAGTAGCAACAACATGTTTTAGATACAAAAATATTGTATAGGAACCCAACACAGTAATTAAAGCAATGTAATAACAATTTACAAGCAATTTCAAATTAATGGTTTCAAATTGGCTTTGCAAAGAATGATAATAAACCTTGCACTTGTTGCGCCTTATCACATTGTTGAGACATCTCAAAGCACTTCACAGAATATACTGTAAAGCGAATTGACTATATATTTTGTGGGCGAAATGTGGCAGCCAATTGCACACAGGAGCGTCCTACAAACAATTGTGGATTGAGTGACCAAATCATTTTTAAGGGATTATTGCCCCAGGAAAAACAATCAAATAACAACCGGGTTCCTACTTACTGTTAGGTTAACAGAGGCTGCCTAAGGTTTTGCCGGGAATCAAACCCGAGTCCTCTCATTTACGTGGCAGAATCTCCGTGTAGAGGGAGTGGGCCATCAGTGATTAATATCTTGTGTGAGACAGGGTAAGTCTCAATTGTGTGTCCCACTGAAGGTAACATTCTAACTGCATTTGTTCATGGAGTGATCCTCTTGTTAGAAATCATGGTCAGTCTCCTCCACTGCACAGCCATTCACCATTCTTACTAACATTGGTGTGAAGTAAATGGGTGGAGGAAAACAAATGAGGCCACAAATCTTTATACCAATAGCACTAAGAAGAACATAACAGCCATAAAGAAGCTGCTGTCCACAAAACTAGGTTGCATCTCAAAGGCATTTAACTATTAGTTGAAAAAAGATATTTTAACTGTGTGCAGCAGATCAATAGTGAGGCCACATGTAGAATATTCAGTTCAGTTTTGGGTGCTCTACCTTCAAAAGGGCATCAACACATTGAGAGGAATCAGGAAGAGTGACTAGGAGGGCTACAGGTCTTTGAGCTCTAAGTTATGAAAAGGGGCTGAACTTGTTTCTGTTAGAAATACATTTGAGGGTGGCATGGTCCAAAGGTTTAACATTGCGGAAGCAAAGATGAGTTGTGATGAAAACTAATTGCTGTGGACATGTGTAACAGACTTCCAAAAGTGCTGCTGAAGTTACATAAATGTACTTTATCAAAAAAGAATTGGATAAGTATCTGCTTGAAAACCATACTTGGGGATATAGAGCCAGCTGCATACTGAAATGAAGAAATACCCCGAGGGCCATAATACCGTGTGTGTGTGTGTGTGTGTGTTTGGAGGGGATGTTTTATATGATGGGAATAATCCTAGGATTGAATTTGAATTGTGGAGATTTGCAGATTGGTGAATAATGTGGATCTGTGATTGATACTTTTGGACTTCAGGGCAGTGGTTTTGAATTGCTTTCCCCAGGGGATAGAGCGGGAGAGGTAAAAATAATGAAACAGTAGATTTTTGTGGCTGTGAAAGGAATGGGTTCGATTGGCTGCTTGACATTTTGACATTTCACATTTTCTTATGTTTTTATTGGCAATTTACCAAAATGCTAACTTCACACACAATGTTCTGCAATTTTTTGGGGGAAGAAAGATTCATGCACAATGCTTGTCTCATACTATCTGAGTCTACTACTTTTTTCACAGAGTTTCATAACCCTGACGACTTTGACTTCCAGCAAATTCCACCGAATAAGCAAAGTAATTTACACAGAAATGAGTTGTGTAACAATGGTTTCACAATGTAAATTTGCATTAACTACATGTCTGACATACAATAACATTTGAAAATATTAAATATTACATTACCACAGTCTTCCTCGTCGGCTCCATTTGCACAGTCCTTAATATTATTGCAGTGAGATATCTGTGGTACACAAATTGAGAGATTGCCACATGGAAAATATCCAAGAGGGCATCTCAGATCCTGAGCGACAGCTTCTGTTATAGTGAAATCTAAATAAAAACGCAGAAAATGAAATCTAAAAAAAACCAGAAAAAAGCACTTCACTCCTAATTTTTTTAAATTTAAAAATGTATTCTTTAGAAGAATTCTAAATTCTAGAGTTTAATTTAATTTAATTAGTTTAATTTAATCAGACCTACAGTTCTTAAATAAATATATGAATGGAACAGAGGTTTCACATGACAAACTGGTACACAAGGAACAAACTGTTTGATATTTAAATTACAAGCAATTCTTCCAGATCTACCCAATGAAACATTTCATTCCATTTTCCATATTCTCCCCTTTGCTGTTCTTCCCTGAGTAACTACAACAACAACAAGATTACATTTGTATAGCGCCTTTCATGTCAGGAAATACAGGAATAGAGTAACACAGGTTCCACCAGCCTTCCAAGAGGCCACTCTTCTCATGTTAGCCTGGTCTGTGAATGTTGGCAGGAGAGCATCATCAGCATCAGCATCATAACAACAATAATAATAATCCTTGCATTTGATATAGAGGCACCTCATCAAGTCATTGAGACGTCTCAAAGTACTTCACAGAATATACTGTAAAATTAATTGACTGTATATTTTGTGGGTGAAACGCAGCAGCCAATTGCGCACAGTAGTGTCCCACAATAACTTTTGGAATTAAGTGACCGATTTATTATTTAAAGTCACCCAACTGACCAAAATGAAATGGAAAGTAAGATTTCTGGTTTGAGGCACTCCTTTTTGCTATTGGATTGAGCATTTTAATTTGAAGGTGTTAGATTGGTTTGCTTAAACTGGTTACCTGATGCGTCTGTGTGAAAAAATAGCCTTTGGCTGCCTTTGTTTCCAGATGAGGTTGCAATGTTTTTCTGTCTGGCGGTTATATTAGATTGCCTTGACCTCAATATTATATAATAATAATCTTGCATTTGATATCGCGCCTCAGGTCATTGAGTTGTCTCAAAACACTCCACACTGTAAAGTATAGCGACCGTACATTTTGTGGGTGAAACACGTCAACCAATTCCGCACAGCAGTGTTCCTACAAACAGTTGTGGATTGAGTGACCAATTATTTAATTTAAAGCAGTAAGTTCCCACTTACTGCTAGGTAAACAGAGGCGAGTGGAGTAAGAAAACTTGCCTAAGGTTTTGCCCTGCCTAGGAAACAAATCTGGGTCCTCTCGCTTGCAAGGCAAGTGCTGTAACCACTATGCTGCAGGACTGTAACTGAGTGCAGACCTGTCGTCCCCCATATCAATGTGCTCAGATTTTCCAGAGTAGTGGGTAGAGAGAGGTGGGTGGAGGGGAGAGATTAGGCAATATTAGGACCAGGAGGCATGACTGAATTCTCTAATCTCTGGTCTGTAGCACCCTCAACCCTCCCAACCACCCACCCGTGCTCTGTCTGAGACCTGCTAAATTAACAAAGACTGTGTATAGAACCTGGGACCTTGCTGTTCTGTATGAACAAGCACCCAAAGATGAGGTGCAGTTAATTATCAAGGCACTCCAAAACAAAATGAGTGAAGATACACATAATGTTAACCATACTGTCAACCATACTGTCGGGGCGAGCAATCAGGTCAGAGCGGAGGCAAAGCCTGGTCCTAGCGATCAGCATAAAAGGAGCGGCGGAGGTAAGCTGTCTCTGAACTGTCAGAGCGACGAAAAAAAGGAGAAAAAGAAAAAGTGATGTAGGTGTGACGTCATTTTTTTCAACAGCAGAACCAGGGATAAACATCGACAAACTGTCAGAAACTACAACACTGACAGCAAATTAAAACAACAAAAAAGATATTGAAAACACTGTGTAAGAAGATGATGTGGCAAGTTAAATGTGAGGTCTGTGATATGTGGGAGTTAATGGAGGGCGCCCTGAGCCCGGGCGACTTCAACTGCAGCAAGTGTTTGCAACTCAGGAAGCTCCAGCTGAGAGTAGCTGAGCTGGAAGCCGAGGTGCAGACACTGCACTGCATCAGGGACAGTGAGAGGTTCTTGGAGAGTATGTTGGAGGAAACCATTCAACGTGAACCATACTCCCCTGAGGCTCGGGAGATGCTTGCGTCCGGTTAATGCTCAGGGACAGGATGTTTTCATCGGTCCTGCAGATAATGGGACCCCTAAGAGAGGGGTGATCGAGCCTTGGTCTTCAAACTTGATCAACGGATGTGAGTATTTGATGGACCAGACACCTCAAGAGGTGGTCACCCCACCCCACACACCGAGGGTTCAGATGGAAAATGACTGGGTGACTGTCCGGCATGGTAGGAAGAGGGGATGGGCAGGGCAGAATGCCCCCCATAGTGTAGCACTCTCAAACCAGTACTCTATTGAACATTGAGAGTGTGGATATCTCCAGGGAGGACAGTATAAACTAATTGGTGGAACAGGGGGACATAAGTAACAGGAGTATTGCTGTTGTCATGGGGATACAACAGTGAGAGGTATAGACTGACGTTTCTGTAACAGAAGATGGGAGTCAAGGATGGTATGTTGCCTGCCTGGTGCTACAGTCTTAGACATCGCAGAAAGGGTGGATAAAATTCTTCAGGGGGAAGAAGAACATCCAGAAGCGGTGGGGATCCATGATTTTGGTAAAACAAAAAGGGCTGAGACTCTACAGGGTCAATATCAAAAGCTGGGGAAGATACTAAAGAATCGAACATCCAAGGTGGCGATTTCTGGATTGCTCCCTGTGCCTTGGGCGAATAAGTACCTGAATGGCAGGACCAGGATCAACTCCAGAATGTTTGGCTGGAGAAATGGTCCAGAAAAGAGGGCTTCAAGTTTCTAGATCATTGGGACCATTTCTGGGGCAGGTGGAACCTGTATCATATGGATGGGTTGCACCTAAACAGGGCTAGGGCGAATGTGCTTGCAGCCAGGCTATCTAATGCTGTTGGGGAGGGCTTAAACTAGTTTTGAGGGGAAAGGGAATGCAAAAAACGAAGAGCTAGAAAATGGAGAAATAAAACAGGGGGGAAGCGCAGAACAGGTCAAGTCGGTCTTGGGAGTGCATGTGCCTAAATGCATAGAGTTTAGCAAACAAGATTGGTGAGCTGCAGGCTCAAGTGGTCATAGGGGGATACGATGTAGTAGCAGTAACAGAGACTTGGCTCAAGCAAGGACAGGAATGGGAGCTGAATATTCGGCTATAATGTATTCAGGAGGGATAGGGAAGGAAAAAAAGGAGGAGGTGTGGCAATGTTAGTCAAAGATACGGTTATAGCCGTGGAAAGGGTCGAGGTGCTGGAGGGCCCCAAAACGGAATCTATCTGGTTAGAGTTAAGGAACAAAAAAGGAGCTGTTACGCTGGTAGGGGTATACTATAGACCACCAAATAGTGGGAAGGAAATAGATGAGCAGATCTGCAAGCAGATCTCAGACAGATGCAAGGCCAATAGAGTCGTGATAATGGGGGACTTTAATTATCCCAACATAGACTGGCAAAACAACAGCGCAAAGGGCAAGGAGGGGGAAAGATTCCTAAAATGCATACAGGACAACTTTCTTGATCAGTACGTTTCCAGCCCAACAAGGAAGGAAGCAGTGCTAGATCTAGTTCTGGGGAATGCAGAAGGACAAGTGGAGCAGGTTTCAGTGGGAGAGCATCTGGGCAATAGTGATCATAACATCATTAGATTCAAGTGCATATGGAAAGAGACAAGGAACCATCTAAGGTAAAGATATTCAACTGGAAGAGGGCAAATTTCAGTAAGTTAAAAAGGGACCTGCCAAGGTGGACTGGAAAGAAAGATTGGCAGGTAAAACAACTAAAGAGCAGTGGGAAGTCTTCAAGGATGAGATAACTCGGGGACAAAATAAATACATTCCCACAAAAGGGAAAAGTAGGGCTTCCAAACCTCCGTGGATGACGAAGATAATTGTATCTAAAAAGAAGCAGAAAAAGGAGGCGTATGACAAATGTCAAACCCAAGATACAGACGACAACCAAATAGAATATAGGAAGTGCAGAAGAGGTTTGAAAAAGGAAATAAGAGGGGCAAAAAGATTATACGAAAAAAGGTTGGCGGGTAACATTAAAGGGAATTCTAAAATATTTTACAAACATATCAAGGAAAAAAGGCTAGTCAAAGGTAGGGTGGGGCCAATTAAGGACCAATGGGGAAATCTTATTGTGGAGGCAGAGGACATGGCTGATGTGCTGAATGAATACTTTGCATCTGTCTTCACAAAAGAAGTGGATGCACCAAATGCCACAGTATTGGAGGAGAGGGTAGAGGAAATGGATAGGATAAGTATAAACAAAGAGGAAGTACTGAAAAGGTTGACTGCGCTGAAGGTAGATAAGTCGCCCGGTCCGGACGGGATGTAACCAAGTTTACTATGGGAGGCACGGGTACAAATGGCGGAGGCTTTGGCTATAATTTTTCATTCTTTGTTGGACCCAGGAGTGGTGCCAGAGGACTGGAGAGTGGCCAATGTGACTTCCCTGTACGAAAAGGGACAGAAGGACAAACCTGGGAACTACAGGCCAGTCATCCTAACATCAGTTGTGGGGAAACTCCTGGAGACTATAATCCGAGACAGAATAAATCTTCACTTAGAAGAATATGGGTTAATTAGGGACAACCAGCACGGATTTGTTAAAGGCAAATCTTGTCCAACAAATCTATTAGAATTTTTCGATGAGGTAATGGAGAGGGTGGATAAAGGTAGTACATTTGATGTAGTTTATATGGACTTTCAAAAGGCATTTGACAAAGTGCCACATGAAAGACTTGTAAGAAAGATAGAAGCCCATGGTATAAAAGGGACAGTGGCAGCGTGGATCCAGAACTGGCTGGGAGACAGAAAGCAGAGAGTTGTGGTGAATGACTGCTTTTCTGACTGGAGGTAAGTGTACAGTGGTGTCCCTCAGGGATCGATATTAGGACCACTGCTCTTCTTAATATACATAAATGATCTGGACTTGGGTATAGCAAGTACCATTTCCAAGTTTGCGGACGACACAAAGTTAGGTAGAGTGGTAAACAGTGAGAAGGATAG